CCTGTCCTGTCTGGCTGGAAAAAAAAACTTCCAGTGTTTCCTGATATTTGAATAACATTTGCAAAAGCCTCGAGCCGTGATCTGCTGAGGGACAATTACCATTCCCTTCCTTTTTAAAAATGGGATTTATAGGATTACATGGAATTAAAGCTGAGGGAAATTTAGGAGATGTTCAGGAAAATGCAGCACTTTTATTGATGCTGATCCCAGTGGGAAAACCTGATGTGATACTCTGGTATATTTAGAAACATGATGACCACACAGAACTATTGTGGCACACTTTTACTTTCAGTGAGAGTCTATTTTAAGAAAAGGTGACATGAAACAAAGCTCGTCCCAGGTTGATTCTCTCGTTTTTAATTCACTTCCATTTGGTTTCTGTGGATCTCTGAGAGGCTGCATGACTGGAAACTTCCCGTTTTTCTTAGAAATCAGAAACACCAGGAGATGATGTCGTTACTGACCAGACTTTTTCCAAGAAAAGACACAAATTAAAGGTAATCATCTGAGAATGATGGAGAAGTCAAAAATCATCTAAATGACCAAACTTTTACAACTTTAAAGGGATTTATATATTTTCATATTATTGTGACTCGTGTTTTTGTGTAAAAGTTCATAAATAACGAATCTATGCCTAATTATATGACCAGCAGCAGAAAACTGTAGAAAATCTTGTGTATTTGGGATCATACCATGTAGGAAATTCTCTAAATTCCTGCTGAACTGGAAGTTTGAAGTTTTTATGCTCGTGATCATCACTCAGGCCTAACGCGTTACTGCAGCTTCAAAAGTAAGCTCGTGCATGAGGTGTGCATGCTGTACGTGCACACTCCTTAACGAAAATAACAGCTGAGACAGTCCCGTGTGTGTGTGGCCCGGAGGACAGAAGAACACAGCAAAATAATAAAAATAATGTGCCTCTGTCTCTGCAGCTGCACTTTCTCGTCGGCCGCCCGAATGTGCAGTGTGTGTGTGTGTGTGTGTGTGTGGCCCAGAGGACAGGAGAACACGCAGCTAATTAATTAAATAATTTGGTTCTGTACCTTTCTCTTCAGCACAGCTGACAAAGGTTTAAGATGGGTCAGTCCTCCTGCATGCTCAGATCATTCCCTTCCCTTGCTTGAAAAATTGTTCCAAAATGAAAGTTGAACCCACATCTTTTTTATCTGTGAATTCAATGCCGTTCGGCTAGTCTCAAATAAAAATTTGGGCGTCTTATTACTGTAAAAAAATATATCGTCGTCGTCTTCCTCCGCTTATCCGGGTCGCGGGGGCAACATCCCAACTAGGGAGCTCCAGACCGTCCTCTCCAACGTGTCCTGGGTCGACCCGGGGGCCTCCTGCCGGCAGGACATGCCCGAAACACCTCCCCAGGGAGGCGTCCAGGAGGCATCCTGACCAGATGCCCAAACCAACTCAACTGACTTCTTTCAATCCGGAGGAGCAGCGGTTCTACTGCGAGTCCCTCCCGAATGTCCGAGCTCCTCACCCTATCTCTAAGGCTGAGCCCGGCCACCCTACGGAGGAAACTGTTAGGTAATTTCATTGTCCCATCCAGGGTTACCTGAGGGAAAGTTCAACACGTAGGGGTTATATTAATAAGCCAATCGATTAACCCATACCAATCTTTACCAATAAACAATTTAGACTTTGCAAAGTGGAGAGAGAGATAAAATGATTCACATGAGTCGGTAGGCAATTCGCTCTCTCAGCCAGAACCCTCAAAAAGCATTTATTAAGGACACAAAAATGGTAAAACGCACACACATTTACACACATTGCTTTAGACTCTCGAAAGGGAGACAAACAGGCGTTGGCACAGGGCGTTCTTACTGATAAGCCAGGACTGGAAAGAGGCAAGGTCAAACGCCTGCCTGTTGCCAGGGTAAAATAAACTGGATGAAGCTTTCGTTTAAAAAATAATAAAATAATTAATAAAATAAAAATAAAATAATAAATTATGTATCCATAATTTATCCAACAGAAACTCATTTCGGCCGCTTGTATCCGCGATCTCGTTCTATCGGTCATTACCTTAGATGAGGATTGGGTCGTAGATCGACCGGTAAATCCAGAGCCTGGCTTTCTGGCTCAGCTCCCTCTTCCCCACGACAGATCTGCTCAGCGTCCGCATCACTGCAGACGCGGAACCAATCCGCCTGTCGATCTCCCGATCCCTCCTACCCTCACTCGTGAACAAGACCCCGAGATACTTAAACTCCTCCACTTGAGGTAGGACTTCTCCCCCGACCCGGAGTTGGCAAGCCACCCTTTTCCGGTCGAGAACCATGGTCTCAGATTTGGAGGTGCTGATCCTCATCAACAGCCGCTTCACACTCGGCCGCGAACCTACCCAGCAAGAGCTGAAGGTCAGAGCTGGATGAAGCTAGGAGGACCACATCATCCGCAAAAAGCAGAGACGAGATTCTCCTGCCACCAAACTCGACACACTCCACACCACGACTGCGCCTAGAAATTCTGTCCATAAAGGTAATGAACAGAACCAGTGACAAAGGGCAGCCCTGGCGGAGTCCAACCCTCACCGGGAACAGGTCCGACTTACTACCGGCTATGCGGACCAAACCCACGCTGCTCTGGTAAAGGGACTGAATGGCCCTTAACAGAAAGCCACCCACCCCATACTCCTGGAGCATCCCCCACAGGGTGCCCCTGGGGACACGGTCATAAGCCTTCTCCAAATCCACAAAACACATGTGGATTAGTTGGGCAAACTCCCATGCCCCCTCCCATCACCCTTGCAAGGGTATAGAACTGGTCCACAGTTCCACAGCCAGGACGAAAACCACATTGCTCCTCCTCAATCTGAGATTCAACTATCGATCGGACCCTCCTCTCCAGTACCTTGGAGTAGACCTTTCCAGGGAGGCTGAGGAGTGTGATCCTCCTATAGTTGGAACACACCCTCAGGTCACCCTTCTTAAAGATGGGGACCACCACCCCGGTCTGCCATTCCACAGGAACTACCCCCGATGACCATGCAATGTTGCAGAGACGTGTCAACCACGACAGCCCTACAACATCCATAGCCTTGAGATACCCAGGACGAATCTCATCCGCCCCCGGGGCTCTGCCGCTGTGTAGTTGTTTGACTACCTCAGCAACTTCTGCCCCCGAGATTGGACAGTCCATCCCCAGGTCTCCCGGCTCTGGTTCCTCCTCGGAATGTGCATAGGTGGGATTGAGGAGCTCCTCAAAGTATTCTTTCCACCGTCCGACTATAGCCCCAGTTGACGTCAGCAGCTCTCCATCCCCCACTGTAAACAGTGTGAGCGAGTTGCTGCCTTCCTCTCCTGAGATGCCGGACAGTTTGCCAGAACCTCTTTGGAGCCGATCGATAGTCTTTTTCCATGGCACCACCAAACTCCCCCCACGCCCGAGATTTTGCCTCGGCAACTACCACTGCTGCACCCCGCTTGGCTATCCGGTACCTGTCTGCTGCCTCCGGAGACCCACAGACCAGCCACGCCCTGTAGGCCTCCTTCTTCAGCCTGACGGCTCCCCTAACCTCTGGTGTCCACCAGCGGGTACGGGGGTTGCCACCACGACTGGCACCGGTCACCTTGCGACCACAGCTAGCAACAGCTGCCTCAACAATCGCAGAGTGGAACAAGGCCCGCTCGGTCAATGTCCCCCACTGCTCTCGGGACGCAGTCAAAGCTCTGCCAGAGGTGGGAGTTGAAGACCGTCTTGACAGGATCTTCTGCCAGGCGTTCCCAGCAGACCCTCACTATGCGTTTGGGTCTCGCTCACGGGCCCCAACCCCAGGCCTGGCTCCAGGGTGGGACCCCGGTAACCCTCCGGGCCGGGTACTCCGACTCTTTGAATTTACATCCATGAAAGATCCTTTGAACCGTTCTTTGTCTCACCCTTCACCTAAGACCAATTTGTCATGGGAGACCCTACCTGGGGCACAAAGTGCCCAAGACAACATAGCTCCTAGGATCATTAGGACATTCAAACTCATCCACCACGTTAAGGTGACAGTTCAAGGAGGATGTGTATGTTCACAACTGGAGTCGAACCCAGGTCTTCTGCATGAGAGTCAGACATCTTACTAGGTGAGCTAAAGCACCAGTGACGTTCAATCTATCTGTAACGTTTATATCCTTGATGACAGCTGAAACAACGTCAATCCAAAGAACAGTTCGAAGCGAAAATGGCTATTTTGTTGCTAATTTGCAGGAAATATCTAGAAGAAAGTTCTACAGAAAGTAGCTAAGGGTCCTCAGAAATGTAGCTAGCTTTGTCACTAGGCGTTAGGAACAGCGACAAAGACTAAAGCTATGGCTAGCAAATGCTACGGGCTATGCCTGAGCGTGAACGCGCATGAAGCAGCCTGCTCGACCCGAGCAGCTCTCTTTTTCTGTGATTTTACAGAAAAATAGGCAATCACAGTAAAAATGCCAGGGCTCATTCTACAGGATCAGGGCATTGCAGGAGAATGTATGAAGAAGAAATTTATTATTTCTATACATGTTTTGACTGTCAAACTTCCTTATAGTCCCTTTAAAGGTTGTTTATACATCTGTAGTGGTCTCTAGTAGGAATGAATGCCTTGTAAGTCGTTCTCAGGGGTAAACATGTTCCTGTGCGCCTGTTTGAGGATGTAAAAATCAGCTGGAGGAGAAAGTAGCTTTAGACGGCAGGATTTGAACAGTTATTTCCTGATAGTTGGACATCTTGCCTCTGATTGGCTAACAGCAACATTCCATTTTTGGTTCTTTTTTAAACACAATTAAGGTTTTTCTTTACCTTGCTGACGTTTTGTTTGCGGCTGCACGCTCATTTGGAGACAAACACAGAAAGAACGTACAAAAGATAACAGCTACATGACTCTACTACTGACCCTCTTTGCTCTGCAATGTTGATGTTTTATAAAAAAAATCTCTAAAAATAATTAAGGTAAATTTTGTTTATTTTAATTAGAAATAAAAATGAGGGGAAAATGCAGTAACAGTTAAAGAAAAGTGAGTACTTACCACTTGGCATGGAGGGAGGTGTCGGCGTGGACGCGCGAGCGTGGCGGGACAGCTGATCAACAGCAGGAAGAGCAGCTGGAGGACGGCCATGGCGCTGCTGCACAGAGAGAGTCCAGATCACAGATCAGAAACTCATGAGTGCAGGAAGCATGTTGGAGGTGATATGAGTGAAAAAGGGAAGGAAGTGCGCCCTGGCTGCCCACTCTGACCTTTCACTGATCTCACGTTTACGTTAAACTGGCACCTATGGAGCAGAGCGACTCAGAAAACCAGTGGGTTTCCATCCATGCTCAGTAATTTCTCTGTTATTATTGTTGTTTTGAACGACGAGGAGGAGTCTCTGTTTTGTCTTACTTCAGTGGCTCATCGTTTCTACGGCTCAAAATCTTTGTTTCCCGATGGTTTTACTTCTGAACAAACCAAAACAGCAGAGCCGAGCAGACAATGTGGGAGTCATTAGTAATGAAGTAATGGTAAGTACCCATGAGGACGGGAGGCTGATAAGCATGTGAAAATTTCACAGAAACAAAAACGTTTTCAAGGCTTGGAAACAAAAAAAAAGGGCAAATTCTTGTCTGATTCAGTGCAGATTTGATTAATCAAAGCGGCCGTGTGTCCGAGACAAGAACAGGAACATCTTTGATTCAGAGCTGCTTTAATCTCTCCTCTCTAGAAAGCAGACAGGGTTTCACAATCTGATAAAACATTAGAGTGTTTCCCTCTTTTATAGCAATAATTCTCACACATTTCAATAAAGAAATTACATTTATTATTTCAGTTATGAATGTTTGAGACCCCAAAATTGTGTAATGATTTAATTATTAATCTAATTCATCTATATTGGCTCATAAATATTTACATGATTCATTTAAAAATGACGAAAACCAGAGGATAGAGTTACAGAGGATATTTTTCTGTAGTTTAAAGGCCAGATGTTCTATTTCTTTGTTACATGTATCCAGTTTGTTTTGGAAAAAATAAATAAATAAAATAAGGAAATATTAAAAGACAAATGAAACTAATCTCTAATAATCAGTCTCTATCTGATAAATCCACTCGGGTTCTGCTTTAGCACATGCATGTGCGGTTTAATCCCAAACAAAAGAAAAGTTTAGATTATCTTCACCTGTTCTGAGAGAATATCTCATTTTTTGCAGTAAAAGAATCTGTCACATAAATAAAATGAAGTCAGAGGCGTCGTGTTCTCAAGAAAAGGACCAAAGATTGATCTGAAAACTCGTTTTTGTTACACTTCAACACTTTATTTCTGCAGGAATCGTACTTAAGCTGCTTTATTATCGACTGTAAAAGTGAAGCGGGAGTCTTTTATTTTGATAAAACCACAACCTAAACCAATTTTATAATTTCCTGTTTAAATAAAAATTGCCTCTCAACCTCCTATAATTTGACATTATTATATTAAAATTAAATATTTTCTACCTTATGAGCAACTTAATTCAGATAATAAAACACACAATTAAATATTTTGCCACCTTTTATGAAACATTATTCCTGAACTAAATCCACATGACTAAAGCAGCCCCTCCATGTAAGACAAGCTCCACATTTACCTCCGTGGGCGACTAATCTTCTCTGCAGCACCTCTGATTTCACATCCTCAGACGCTCACTCAGATTGATACCGACGCCCACAAACCGAGAAGCTTGTTTGACTCCTGCTTCCACATCGGCCCGACTCCGGCTGCTGTCCAGCCATCACATCCTGTAAAAATATCCAGCATCGCTCTGCCTCTTCCTCCTCCCACTGCTCATGGGGAAACACCATATAAGGGGGCTGGGAAGTCCAAGGAGACAACCCACAATCTAAACTGGACGATTTCCTCTCACACACCAACTCCAACTTGAAATTTGGGGCATTTTATTTGTCATTTATCCCATTTTTCTGCCTCTCTTCCAAAAACAGCCTTACTTGGGGATGTCTGAGATGAGACTCGAGCAGAAGTTACTGATAGATTTACTCATTTTGAGAGGGAGCGACGGGGAATAAATCACACATCCCCTTCACAGCTGTGGGAGAAAAGTGCTTCTGTCATGTGGCTTTGATCAGACTGTAAACACACATCACCGTAACGATGACGAGTAACACAACCAACAGACAAAACGTGGAATGACTGTACAAGTGTCTGGATGGGAAAACGTGAGAAAAATACAGATCTGCGAGATTTAATCTCTTGATTTAGTCTGAAATTATCAAAAAATAAGCAACGTTACAATTTTGTGGCACTACTTCTTAAAACCGCAAGTTAATATTTTCACTGTAGAGAACATAAGGTTCCTAGTTTATAATAAATGAATGACATCAGACGCTGGGTCTCAAACATAAATCAACTCCAGACGTAGTCTGAGTAAAACAGATTCAACTAGGAGGAAAATCTGGGATTATTTAAAGAAACAAAAGACATTCAGACTGACTGAAGAACTGTGGCGGGGTCTGAAGTTAGTTGCTTCGATCAGATTTGTAAAACCAGCCAGACGGATTGAGACATCCATTTAATCTTTTCTAATTCTGTCTTTCACAAATTTAAACCCCTTTATTTCTGGTTTTAGTCTTACATTAAACTCTTGATCTAATTCTTTCAACCTCATCAAGTTTTACTGTAATCTAGATTTAAATCACTGAAGCTGTTCCTGTCTGTCAAGACTCAAGTTCACGTATTTTAATTTTTATTTACCTCTAACAAACAATCTGTCAGGATTAATTTTTCACTTTGTTTACTTTTTGCCTTTATGACGAATTTAGTAGCATTTTACAATTAGTTACTGAGAATTACAACATTTTTATTATTATTACATATAAAATCTGAACTTTTGCCACACGAGGGCAGCACAGATATTTATATTAAAAATGTCTTCATTGAGTGTTCTGTTCTGAAAGAAATATACGGGAAGATTAAATAACAACTCTATTTCTTGAAAGGATCCAGAAACACTGAAACGTTTAAAACTATCTTCCACAAAAGCAAAAATCTAACTTCACCGCATCTTTATTTACACAAAATGTAGCTGGACTACATTAAAATTTGTTTTAACTTTATAATATTCAAACCTTTAGCTGTGCGTGTTTTATTAATATTTTATGTATTGCAACAAGCTTCATTTACATTTAAAACACAAATTAATGTTTTACCAAGAGTTAACATTTCCTTATAACGTATTATTATTAAAATTATTGCTGTTAATTAGAACACAGCTGTATGGTTGCATTGCGGTGCAGTAAATTGTTCCAATTCGTTTTGAAATTATATTACTATTTGTACAAATATTTTGTGTTTTCTGATTTTAATTATCTTTCTTCTCTATTTTGTTGTTTTGTTTTATGATCATTTTGACTTTGATTGTTTTGCTGGTCTTTGTGAAGCACTTTGTGTCTTCACTAAGTAAAATGTATTTATTTAGCACCTTTCTCTTGTAAAAACACCAAAGTGCTACACAACAAAACTTATGTGATAAGTGCTATATAAATAAACTTTACTTACTAATTTCAACATTTAGATGGTTTTTATAAATGTAGAAACTAAATATGATGATCTTGAATACGGCTAAAACTCTACTACAATGTAATAAGTGTTATATGAGTAAACTCAAAGGGATGAGGAGAAACGTTTGGTGTTGCATTTTCAGAACGACTAAAAAAATGCAGCACTTAAACAAGAATTATATTCAGAATGTTAAACCAGAAGAAAACATGTCTGCTTTTATTTTAAATATTGTGGAGGAAGAGTTAAGAACTGTGTCACTAACAGAAGTACCAACAGTAAATATAATCGTATATAAAGCAGGACTCTTACCTGGTGTTTAGTCTGCTGCAGTCGTAGGTCAGGTTTTAAATTCGCCATCCTTTCATTCTTCATCTTTTATGTGCAGTGTCGTTTCTCATTCACATCGCCTGGGTCGTATTACAAACGACGAGCTCGGGGGCTGGTCCATTACTGACAGGTGTTGTGCCAAAGTAGTTACACCCGTCAAAAATTGTTTCCCCCATTCATTATAGATTGGGGGGCACACATTTTGGCAGCTGGTGCCACACAGCCTGATAAAATCTGTATCCCTCCTTAACTTTTGCTGTGAAGAAACCCTCTGCGACGTTACTGTAGTTATTGGTTATACTGTGATTGATTTTGAAAATAAACTATTTCGTGATAGCAACGCCAACAAAAACAAAGTGTAAACCGAGTGTAAATTCACCGGAGAGCGACGTGTTTCCATGATCACGTCTGGTTTTACAGTATTATAGTATCAAAGTATTTTTCACTACAAAGTATTCCCAGCAGGTTATTCCACACGGCACGATACAACATCACGAAACTATTGGGGAAACAATTTTTGACGGGGGTAATTACTTTGGCACAACACCGGGATTCCCAGACTTTTGGTTTCTCTATTAAAGACAAAAAAGCGCCAACTGCTGGAGGAAGGTTTAACGCGGTCTCCATCTGTTATGTACACCTCGAGAAAAACATTTCATTCAGTGGAGCATTTGCTTCAACAAATTAACCAGTAATTTCACGGATAAATCATGGAAAAACCATAACTCGGTGCTTTTTTTTCTTACCTTGTACATTAGTTCAACGCTTCCTTCTGCTGGTTAAATTATCTCTGAAACCACTGGACGTATTTGAACAAAACTTTCAGAAAGTAACCATTAAACAGTTATTTAAAATTTACTACCTGGTCGCCGCTGCTAACTAGCTTTATAAAACACAAATAAATAGCTAAAACGCAATCAATTTAAAATATTTCGGCTAAATTTTATCGTGGTACTAGCTAAATCTAGTCTTTCCAAATCTCGCGAGATCTCGCATTACGTTGGGTTTTGATTTTGACGTACGTAAAACCATTTCAGGTTAAAACTCAGAAATCAGTAAAAAAATAAAAGTACTTAAAACGGTCCTGAATGTTAAAAAGCTTAAATAATCTATAATTCTCCCAAAAATTAATTTCAAATAATATTAAGTAGTTTTACAAATTTTAATTTCTTTGCTTTTTAGAATAAAACAGATTTTCTTACAAGAAACTTTAAAATAGTAACTAACTTTATTACCAGTATCTGTGATTATTTGCTTAAAAAAAAGCTGGTTCAGAGAAATTAAAGAAAAATAGGCTCAATGATCGTTAAAATGTTATAAAAAATGATTTTTCTTTTAAATACAGCAGTATTAAATATTTGGTTTGTTTCAAACGGTCTTCTTATAAACAATTTTTTTAACTGAATGAAACATTTTCCGCTTTTTCACAATTTATCCAAATTTGTAAGTGATTCAAATATTCAGATGTTAAAAATAAACGAAAAATGTATCCTAACTTAATGCTACATCTTAGTTGAACCCCCTTCTCACTGCAGTGTGACGCCCCCTTCTGGACGCTCTTGCTCTGTAGGTACTGGTTTAAAATACTTTTAGAGCACTGATCCTGTTTTTAAGATCCAACAATAAAGTCCAAATATAATAATAAGAGCAAACACGTGAATATGGCCAGAAGTAGGTTTTATATAAAATTTGAGACAGTGGATACAGAGGCGATATGCTTATAAAAAATACAATCAAAAGAAAATAAATGAATCTTTTCTCTTCTATTTCAAGCAGATGTTCAAGTTAGCAGATGAAATGTAAAAAGGCACTAAATGTACAACATTCCAGTTTTAAAGAACAGAGGCCATGATCGTTCAGAGAGAAATAAAAACAACAAAATCACAGGGAAATGGTTGTCTTCGTAATGCAAGACATAGTGCAGGTTTTACAGAACACATCAAACAATTAAACGACTATTTACCATCAAATAAACACCGAGCACATACTCATCGTGGGCGAACAGTTCATCCTGCGTTTGCTCGAACCCCCAGGAACTGCACGTAAAAGCTCCTTGGAATAACTGGGAAACATAGTTTCTCATAGTTTAATTTTTACGTCACAATTTTCACAACAGCACTAAACACTGCAGGCAGTCACAATCGGGAGAAAAGCGACCAGCAGTTTGTGGTTTGTTGGTATCATACACGGTTGGTCTTTTCTCTGTTTGGTCGAGGTGCATGCTGCTGTGTGGCAACAAAAAAATAACAGGAACCAAGAAGAAAACAGAAAAATGGAAGACGACAGAGTCTGCATCAGGTGGAGTCAAAATGAGCTGAAATCAGGATTCCTTTGGTCAGAAAAAAACTTCATTCAAGTTCACTGAAAACCACTAAGATGCATTTATGTTTACTGAGAATAAATGCATCAAAACTGTTTTTACATTTAATCATTTCCAGAAATCACATCGTTATTTTAGATCAATTTACCAGAGCTAAATTTTTACGGATTTTTATGAGCATCACAGCTCTTAAGGCAGTAGATTTTAATGTTTTTAGGTTTTAACATTAAAACTTGGCAGAAACGGGTAACATTTATAGTTTTCAGTGACATCCCAATGATACAGTCAACTTTAGAAACTCAACTAAGAACATCAACTCATGTTGGTGACTTATTCTAAATGATCACCTTTTCTAACTATTTGATCATCTCTTGTGAGCGATACGGTTTTATAGTTTTTACATTCAGGTTTGTAATGATCAATCACCTTAAATTTCCTTTCATTCTGTTACAAGTTTCTGCAGATTTCATCTCCTCCCTTTAATCTCAAACTTTTCTAACACATTCACCGTAAAAAAAAAAACAACATTTTCCTGAAACTTGATTAAAGATCATGAAATAGGCAGAATCACATTTTAGACGTTAATATTTGGTTCTTTAACGTGTTGAAACGTGGCACAAAGTCAAATCTGGACCCGCGCTGATTGGAAAGGAGATTCCGAAGGATGTAAATGAAAACAAATCTTGGTAAAGCCCGAAAGCCAGGATAAACATTCAGAGAGCATGTAAACTTTCAGCTGGAACTGAACAGATTTGGAACTTTAAGACAATTTTTAATGTTTTTTTGCAAAATCTTTTGATGCCATTTACTCACAAGGTGTCGATTCATTTGGAATTTGTATAGAATTACTTGTTTCCGTTGCAGATTTGTTGCGCTCGGAATGTCAGATTCATATTATTTTGGTCCTGATTTAGTTTCTTAGTTCTCCAAACCTTCCCAAAGCACTTTTTGACTCACAGGGACTAAACTGAGAAGAGTTTGAGAGGAGCTCCAGAGGCTCTCTGAGAGGAAATTTGATCTCGGCTCACATGAGAAATTTGAGAACATTTGGGAAGAACCTTGGGAACCTTGTTGCAAGATGTTTTTGTTCCTTAAAGAAATTCTAATTTGCAACATAATGAGTTCTTAATTAAAAAGAAATCTAATTAGAACTTTTTTGAGATACTGTTTTTCTTATTTCCCCACCTGCTGACTGAATAAATCATCAAGTCGGCTCATTCTGAATCAGTCCTGAGCAAACTGCACGTTTGTTTGATTTTACAAAATAAAAGACAAATAAAGCAACTTTCTTGACCTCTACAGCAAAACCAGCGTCCTCTAGAAGGACGTCCACAGCCGAACCACACTGGAATGAGTTACAGTAAACAGCACAAAATCTTTAAACGATGAGTTCAACTTAAATACAAACACGGGTCGGCGTGGAAAGTTACTGTATTCTGAGTCACGAGCTGCAAAACAAATCATCCTCATAGGCGATGGAAACAAACATACATAACAAATTTGGCTTTTAAATGCTTTAAGACAAAAGGAAATAAAAACTGACATCTGGAATGCATTTAAAGCTCGACAGTATCTGGAAAATAAATCTGATATTTGGCCCATAAGTGAGAAAAATAAAACTGAGATTTACATAAAATATAGATTAAAAAATAACATTAGTATTATGTTTTGCGTGTTAGTAAATTATATGCAGTGTGTTTGGAAGTTGTTTCATTAAGCAAAACCTCCCAGTTTTTATAAAAGAAGAAAATTCACCTCAATTGAACTTTTTTTTTTTTTTTTTCAAAAATGAATTAAAAATACTGAATATATTAATTTTAAAGTCACAACCTTAGAGGGCAGTGAAGAAAAAGAAAAATGAGCGGGAAAGACAGTGGGTGGAGATTTGATTTAAAAATAAAATTTAAAATCATTAACTTAAAAACAAAATCACGACTTAAAGAGGATTTTTGTTCCACTGAGGTGAAAGTTCCACGGGAGTAAAAAGGGTACCACAACAACATGCCAGGAGTTTTTTTTTTTTTTTTTTGACGGTGAGCTGGAAGCATTCACAGTAACACGACGTGGGACGGCTTCTCCTAGCTGAGTAAAAGTACCAACTTCACTTCACGGATGTTAGAAGAACTGCATGCAACGTTACCGCGAGCGATGTCCGAGCTACGTCTATATGGAATCAATATGGAAACGCGCCACGGTGGAGACAAAACAGACTGTTGCACCGAGTACATGTACATTAATATGAAAAAAAAAACATGCGTTTAATCCAAACTTTCATTTATTCAGATTTTTGTAAATTTTACTCGACTGGTATCAATTTTTCTTCATGTTTCAGGGTTTTTTCAGTCACTTCTTTCAACCAAAAAGACATTTTTTTATTCTGATCGACGTCTTTCACATTAGAAAGACTCAAAACGAGCAGCTCAACAAGAAAACCTTTTTATATTTTTTGCACAAAAATCACTGTGCACGCTCCGAGGTTTCGTACATATTTGGCGATTTTTGTTTTCACGTTTCTGTATTCTGATAAGGGAGATAATTCCAAGGATGGGACTGTTCTTTGCAGCTTTTCATTTCGTTTCTGGTTCAGAGTTCATTTAAATTATTCCGTCTCTAAACCAAAAAAGCTCTGAAGGCAGTTAGTATGTGATCAACGCAGATATGTAACAAAACTTTCAAACACGAGAGGTTTAAAAGACAAAGAACAAAAAAGAAAACTCAATATTCGCATGAATATAACTCATCTCCATGCTAACAAAAATAAATATGCAAGACTCTGGTTGTTCAGGACCTGAGGCTCGTTTTTCTTTCATTAGCACCTGCTAGGAAACAACTATACCTGTTATTGTTATTTTTAGAACGGCAGACCCTTTTCATGAGGATCAAAACTTAACGGGTCCATTTCCATCATTAATCCTACGGTTTGTGTGTTTTTGTGATTTAAAGAAAAATAAACATTTTTTTTTGGTGCACACTTCAAAGGAAGGGGTCCTAAAAACATTTTAATGTGTAGTTTGGTAATAAAAGAAAGACATTTTTCTAGCAGCTATTTAAGGCGGAAATCAGAAGTTTAGAAACACCCGGCATAAATCTAAACAGAAGAAATTGATTCCATCTGGAGGAGGCAGACGCTAACGTGACCAACTACTCAAATGAAGGGTCAAAAAGGTCACGTGCCTGGTTCAAGAGAGGTTTTTATGATCAAATTAAAGTTTGATAAACACCAAGCAGGATATCGGAGGCTGAAGTGACCATGAATTAATGGAGATCATTTAAAATATAAACATATATTTTAATAAATATGCAAAAATTTGTTGTAAGAATGTGCATTAAAATAAAAAAACAGCCAAACAAACAGCTACTGATGTGATGTTGACGGTTTATGAAAGTGGATTTAGTGGCGTCGGTGCAACGGTCTGTAAACGCATCTCAGAGTGAGAGGGGATTAAAGAAAGTTTACAAAATTAAATATTTTTAGTTGGAATGATATTTTTATTTTGATCCCTGTACTTGAGAACTCCTTTTTTAAAGGCTCGTATGATGGAGTGGTTTTTTTTTTAGCCGTAACAACAAAGTACGTTAAGACACTATCATGTAACAGCATCATGCGTTCAGAGGACAAAATACGGAGAAAAGAGAAACGACACCAGTTTTGTCCCTGTTGAACGGTTCCCACCCTCCCTGTGAGCAGCTAACGGAGGTCTCAAACTTTTTAGTGTTTTCTTTGTTTCTTTTGGTCCCCGTCTTCAGTTTTTACAAATGTCAGCGTAGACCACCGGCTCGATCTTGTGGAAGGAGTTTTTACTTCCTGAATGATCCAGCTGGGCGTATATCACCGGGCCCTAGAGCACAAGAGAAACAGAATCAACACAGATCAACTAAACCATAAAAAACAGCAACAAACGAAGGCTTTTATTCTGTTAAGCTAGTTTAGTGTGAATTAGTGCTCAAACATTCATACACACAATCCAGATTGTAATCTTTAGCTTTGTGCATGAGGAGTTTGCTCGTTTTCCTGCATTTTCTGGCATTTTTGGTAAAACATCTCAGACCACTGATTAGATTTTACTAAAACCTCCAGACAGAAACAATTCCACACATCTACCACTTTTAGAGTCAACCCAAGTCCAAATGGGCACAACAGCAAACAGAAACATGACTGACTTCAGCCTGGATGCTAAACAAAACGATGCTCGGCACAAATGTGAATGGAGGAGACAACCCAGAACCATTCATGTGAGCTGGAACCAGTCAAGCTGTGGCCTCCAGTGGATTTGGTTGTACCTGTAGTGGACCTGAGGGGCTGGAACACCTGGAAGCCTCTCGGTTGGATTCTGCCTTCTTTTGCGGCCGCAGAGACTGAGAGCTCGCGCTCTCCGGGGTGGTGCATCTAGATAAGGGTTACCATTTGCCGTGGTGTCGAGCAGACATTGGGACGCATGATGCATAAGACACGGGATAAAAAATAAAGCAGTGAGAGATGAACACATGAAATAATGCAGCTACGAGGAAAACAGAGACAAGCTAAAGGTGGAAAGGAGCTTCTAAAAAGGTTACGACTGGAAATAAAAAGACATGAAACTCTTTGGATGGCGAAATAACGATAAGACGCCTCATTACAATCACAATAAATATCATAGAATTTCTACCAATATTGATCTGTCCATATTAGTAACTAGAAGGTGGAAACATAAATAAAAAAGGTGGTGTAGCCTTGTATATATCTATAGACTTGAAATCAAAATTAGTTGAAAAAATGACCATCTGTGAAAAAAATGTTATGAAGTAGTAACTATAGAAGTTAGTAATGTTAAAGAAAAATGCGGTATAATAATTAGTTGTGTATACAGAACACCTGGTTCTGATGTGGTAAACATTTACTGACAAAATAAGTGAGCTGGTTGATCCAGTCAAGAATAAGACCTTATTTATGTGGTGATTTTAATATAAATTTAGATAATCTTGGGAGACTAAAAACATCCGACTTTGTTGACTCAGTGTTTAGTATGGGTCTTTTACCCTTAGTCACCAAACCACCTAGGATTACTACACTGAGTGCTACTATTGTTAATAATATTTTAACAAATAAAAAGCATGAAGTTATTAAGAGTGGTATATTGATGACTGATTGATATCAGTGACCATTAACTCATTGGGTAAAGCACAAAAATAAATTCAAATACAAGAGATAAATCTATTAAAGCTATAGATGCACTTATTTATAATCTCAGGATACAAAACTGGAAGGAAGTTTATGTTAAGGATGTTAATGTTGCATATGATAAATTCATGAAAATCCTAATGGAACTATATAATAAACGCTGTAAATTACAACAAACTAAGGTTGGCAGTGAACTACATCCTGGGTTGACTAATGGCATACATAAAGAATGCCTGTGTAAAGAAAAACACTTCGTACAGACATTTTCTTAAATTACAGACGAAGGAGGCAGAGGAAGGATATAAATAATCTAAAAATAAATTAACCACAATCATAAGGAAACACAAAAAGAATTATTATAGTGAATTGATAAGCAGAAATTAAAACAATTCATGAGCTACATGGGGAATAAACAACCGTGTGACCAGGGTAAATAAAGCTGATTCTAATTTGCCTAGTTACTTTGTCAAGGGGCACACTGATATTTAAGATTTCAAAGAAGTCACTAATGAGTTTAATGACTTCTTTGTAAGTGTAGGGACTAGTTTGATAATTCTAAAACCAAATGTGGAAGACAAACTGAATACTATTACAGAAAATCCTCACAGCATTCACCTTACTAAGGTTGAGAAGAATGAAGTGATTGATATTGTTAAAAAACTGTGGAAACAAAAGATCTACTGATAATGAGGATTTGGATAACTGAAACTGCTGTTGAACCGTTTACAGATTATATATGCAATTTGTCACTTTCATTGGGAGTATTCCCTGATGCAATGAAAATTGCTAAAGTGGTCCCATTATTTAAGAATGGTGACAAACATAATTTTACTAATTATCGACCAATATCATTCCTTCCACAGTTTTCTAAAATTATGGAAAAAATCTTTGTTACACGAATGGATAAGTTTATTGAGGAAAATAGTGTTCTAAATAATGGACAGTATGGCTTCAGGGCCAATCACTCAACTGCTTTGGCTATAATCAGTGGCGGATTTAGCAATTTGGGGGCCCAAGGCGAACACACACATGGGGCCCCTTACACAAAATTTTCGACAATCTTATCTTTAACTGGATTTGTGAAACTCTCCCCTCTTCTGACATGAGTTATTTTCCATTTTTATTAGTCCTCCTCTTTTTTCCTGTATTTCCCTCCCTTTGAGCGCGGGACACACTTCTTTCCTGCAAATACAATTTCACAGGTGTTGCTAATACCTATGATCCTTCAAGGGATGTGCTCAAAGAGGAGTTCAACATTATGAATGAAATGTAGTGTTTTATTTTACAAATACCATTATAAACACAAACTTACATCTTAAGAAACATTATTTTAATAACGACACTGCTAAATTCTTTCCAACAGTATAGATGTGTAGTGTATTTTGTCCGAATGGGTTTGCCGTACTTTGACGTCATCGGCAGTCGAAGGACCCCGAGCCGATCTTGCACCCGAGCAGATCTTGTACGGACACCGGCAGGAAAATAGGTCAAATCTCCGGCCAGAACTTTTTAAAAAATTCCACAGGGAACCCATCTGAGCCAGGGGATTTTCCGTTTGGCATTGACTGGATTGCTGCCCATACCTCACTCGGGCTAAAGGCTGCATCAAGAGAAAAGAGGTCCTCTTCCGAGATAGAAGGCAAAGAGATATTATTTAAATAAGCAGCTCCATCTGGATCACACCGTCCTGCCGAATAAAGGGATTTATAGAAGTCTCTAAAAGTCTTGTTAATACTTGACGGATCATAAATGGCTTCCCCTTTATCCATTTTTATTGCAGTAATGGATCGCTCACTAATCTGTTTTTTCAATTGGAGGTGGCTCGATCTGTTGCCAAATTCATAATAGTTCTGCTTAGTATAGAGAAGCAGTTTTCGAGCGTGGTTAGTGTATTCTATATTAAGCTTAGTTCTGACAGCAATTAATGCCTTGAAATTTTCTGGGGTGGGAGATTGCTTATGGATCTGTTCCAGCCTAATCACTTTGGATTCAAGTAACCTGTTTTTCTCCATTGTTTTCTTTCTGAAAGAGCAATAGGAGATAAGCTAACCGCGCACGGTAGCCTTCGCTGCATCCCATATTATAGTGGGCGAAACTGGTGAAAGGCTATTTTCTGACCAATATTGAGAGAGACTTTTTCTTACATAGGCGCAAGAGGAGTCGTCGTTTAGTAGTGATATATTATATTTCCAGATAGGGGTCCTAGGAATGTCAGAAATGAAATCACACTGTAGAGAAACAGGGGCATGATCCGAGATGGTGATTGGGCCAATTAAACAAGATTGAACAGAATAGAGAAAGTTTTTAGGGGTAAAAAAGTAATCAAGTCTAGAGTATGAATTATGGGGATGTGAAAAGAAAGAGTAATCCTTCGTATTAGGGCTCGGCATGCGCCAGATATCGATTAGCACAGAATCCGTGCATAAACCTTTGAGAGCTGACAAAGCCCTTGGGTTGGATACCGGCGCCGATTAGGATTTATCCAACCTGGCATTTAGTATGCAATTGAAATCGCCACCCATAAAGCCCAAACAATCACAGTGCTGATTAAAAAGTAGCACTATTTGAGATATAAAGTTTGGTGAGTCTGTGTTGGGGACATAAACATTGAGTATAGTAATGGGGCGTCCAAAAATCAAACCCTTAGTGGGGGAACTTCTCCAGGCCCTCTTTAGCAGGGTGGGACTGGGAGGAGAGTGCTGTAGCCTTTTAGCTGGAAGCTAACCGGAGCCTGGGGCTAACGGTGGGTTGGTTCACCGGCACGTGTCGGAGTCAGCCCGGTTATTATCAGATGCTTAACGACACCGAGCGGGTTCACGTTAACGTTTGAAAGCAGCGCTGATTCCAGAAGCCTCAGCACAAAGTGCGTTCGTTAGTCTGAGCCAGCATGACGAACAAGGGAAGCGAGCGGCAGCGGAAAGCGGGGGCGGAGTGGAGATAGTGGAATTTTGGGGTAAGGGTCTACGTAGGGGGCGGGCGTATTACGTGAACTGACCCATCTGATTGGCCGCATATCAGAAGGGCTACATTTGATTGGTCAAATAATACTTACGCGTAAAAAACAGAGTTGGTTTACAAAAAGTTGATGTATGACACGAATGGAAATGTTTGAACCAAACATTTATCGCCGTTTTTGACGTGCTTTGTGATGGGCCTATCGCACGTCCTGTTATCGCGATGACGATAATTTTTCGATATATTGTGCAGCCCTACTGGGCAGGGTCAATATGGTAAAAATGAACAACCTCCCACGTCTTATTTATTTCAGAACCTCCCCTGTTATTTACCCCCCTCGTTCATTAAATCCCTCAACTCGGAGATTTCACGTTTTATTTGGAACAATAAACATCAACGAATAAAATTTTCTACGCTTACTAAATCAAAGCAATTAGGAGGCCTCTCCCTACCTAACATACAATTTTATTATTGGTGCTCGCAACTCAAAACTATATGAGACTGGTTCTCGAACAGAGTGTCATCCCTGTGGGTTGAGTTGGAAACTCTGGCCGGTCTCCCTAGAAGACTAACCTGCCTTCCTTATATTGTTAAGTTCGACCAGGTAGACTCTCTCAAAGATAATACATCGGTTTACAATACATTATTGGCCTGGAGGGATGTTTTATTTCAATCCGGTCCCCTCTGGTCTTAAATCCAGATCTACCGCCTCACATTCGGAGTATTGGCCTTCTGGGGCTAATGGTAATACTGGTCACAAAGACTTCAACAAATACCTTCAAATCCGTAATTATACTGAATCCCTGTTACGGTCTGCCTCATTTCGTTTCCAAGTAACTGAAATGGAAAATACTTTTACTCTTTCCAGATCCCCTAGGGGCCTCCTCTCTAAGTTTTACACCTCTCTACTTAGTCTGGAATCTTCAAGTTTTGATTCTGTTAAGCGGGTGTTGGAGCGTGATCTGGTGATGAAGATTAACCCTTTGGATTGGCACAAGGTCTGTACGGGAGCTTTCCCTAAAACTACCTCCATTGCCATACAGGAACAAAATTTCCGATTTTTCTACAGATTTGATTACACACCAGTTCATCTTCAGAGGATGTTCCCCACCCGCTACAGCCTTTGTAGTAAATGTAAGACTGCCAAAGGAACATTTTTCATCTTTTTTGGTCTTGTAATGTTATTCAGGCTTTCTGGAGGCAGGTTCACTCAGCAACTCAGGACATTCTGGGAGTACGTTATCCATTGTCACCCTTGTTCTACCTCCTTAATGTTGACCCCCATTTATTAGCCGCACATAAAAAAATCCTTATTAGTTATTCTTAGATTTCTTGCCAAGAAATGTATTCTTTTTGTCTGGTTATCATCCCAGCCCCCCACGCTTAGCCTGTGGGTTGCTCAAATATCCGCCATCCTTCCTCTCGAAAAGTTGACCCATGACTTGCATCATAAATATGACCCATTTATGAAGATTTGGGGGCCCCTTTGCTCTTTTTTACTTAAACCATGACTGCTCTGTTTTCGTCTTTACCGTTCCTATGCATATATATCTATGCATGTGTGTATATGTATATTGGTATGTATATGTAAGTGAATGTGTAGGTGTGTATATGGACATATGTGTATGTATCTACATATAAATGTGTTTTATCTCTATTTACCTACCCATAGCTTGCTCTAACCTCGTTTTGTGTACAGTAACGCTAAGCTGTACAGACACTCTTTGTACGTTCTGTGCCTTTATTGTTTATATATATATTAGTTTTTTGTTTTTTTAGTTATTATTATCCATCTTTTTTCTTTTTTTTCTTTTTTCCTTCCCTTTCTTATGTAAAACATTAAAATGAATTAAAAAAAGGTTCTTAAAAACACTGTTGAACAACAAATGTTTTCCAATTAAAGTTTTTGGGTCGTTTAAAGATTTATGAGGTAAAAAGGCCTAAAAGTACGACATCTGGCTGATTAACTACATAGTGGAAAAGCGTGAAATATTAATTCTGTAGATAAATTATTCACTGTTCAGTATAATAATGATGAATAATTTAAATAATCTTTTATTAAAAATATTTCATTTTATTTTCACATAAAAAAACAGACCGATTTAAAATAATAAACCTCTGTTAACTAATTTTGATAAAAATTATTAGACATGATCTGAATGTGACGACAGAAGAGGCAGAAAACCAACATAAACAATCTCAACGACCTCCTTAACACCATTAGTAAAACTAAAAGATGATCAGTGATGAAAGATGGCAGATGATGGAAGTTTAGCTTAGAGGAAAACTGGTTAGTTGGTGTTAAACATTTACATGAAGTAATCTGATTACTGTGGGAAACCTTTGACCATCTCTTCTTACTCAGCGTTCAGCGAAGAGTTCAGTTAATTTGCCCAATTCTACATCCTTCAGTCTTCACGCTGTGAGGGGTCCGTGCAGCTCCAGACTTTTCTAAAACAAATCAGCTTGACCTGATTTTAGTTTTGGTCTTGCCAAAAAGATAACACTTAGAAAAACGGATTCCAACATTCTAGTGGAGGAACTAGGTTTCAACCCTAAAGCCAGTTTCTCAGTGGGCTGTGCCTAGTCGTGATTTAGGTAAGACAACGACGCTAACGGAAGTTATGGTGAAAATGTGTGAAAAACATGCATACGAATGGCTTTTAGAAGGTTTTCAGAAGATGCAGGACTGGTTTTGGACGGTTTAATTAGAGGACATTAACTGGATCCATGTAGATGTAAAAAGCCCATTTTGGTTTAAGATGGCTCTGGTCCATCAATAATAAGGCTTTAAACCTTGGTTTTGACATTATTTTGCATTTCTGAGGGGTTTGACTGTCTACAGTTATGATTGTGATAAATGATGAATGACCCACACTTGTATAGCGCCTTTCAGAGTCAGAGGACTCCAAAGCGCTTTACAATACATTCATACATTCACACACTGATGGTGATGAGCTACAGTGTAGCCACAGCAGCACTGAGGCGCACCAAAGTTGACCACTGAGCAGGGTTGATGGTTTATTCCTTGAGGTCCACGTGGCAGGGGTGAGGAGTAAGCACCACCTCACCCCTGCCACATGGACCCAAGGGATAAACCATCAATCCTGCTCAGTGGTCAACTTTCCTTGCGGGGTCACACCCATTAGGACAGTGGGAGGGTTAAAGGGACAGGAACACACCTTTCTATTTCCAGGAACCACACGGGAAAAACAATTTCTGTAAGTCAGAAATTTCGATAATACATTTTCGATTTATTGCCCTGCCTTAAGACTTATATTTATATTTTTGAAAAGTTGATTTTCTCTGACCTGATACACACCCACTGTACTAGATACTGTGTGCACATGAATGGGCCAACACAAATTTCTTGCAAAAATCAGCTGCTTATAGAGCCTCAAGACAGGAACATATTACCCAAAGATATAAAGCATTAACATTTTATTATATTATCAGTTCAACCTGAATGTTTTATGTATTTATTGAAAAGAAAACGTCAGACTTGTTTGATTGAATAAAGTCATGTATGTGAATTGGACCCCAGGATGTTTAGTAACAACTTTGGTGACAATTAACAGGGATCCTAATAAACCAGTGAAACCGAACCCTAGTGAACGTTCGGAGACATTTTGAAAGTTTCTCGCAAAATCTCTCCTCCAAAGTGTCACAGAACAGTGAGACACTGGCTTAATCCTCCTCAGATTAGAGTAAAATGATGTGGCTGTAATCAGATTACTTGTAAATGCTTCTGCAGATGTGAACAGAGAATGTTAGTTGTTAGGACACAAAGATGGAGGAAAATGGCCGACACCAGAGCAAAGAGCAACCCCAAAGATCTCAGGTGGAACCCACAGGAAGGAGGTCGGGTGGGTCAACATTCCTTCAGCTCGAGAGGTTAAAGCTCTCAGTTAAATGAAGTTCATGCTGGACGTGGTCAACGAACTGAAAGGAGCTACATCTAGTTTCTGAGTCGTTTTGAAGCAAACTGTGTTAACTCATTCACTGCCAATGACGACCAAAGTCGTCATTTGCATTTTTTTACTGTTTGAGCATCAGAACGAGCCCCCGCGCTGAGAGAACAAACATCTCAGCCCTGAAGCCGATCTTCATCCGCATATGTCCCATGTCACGTGATCAGGAAGCAGACCATCCATGTGTTAGGAGATCGTTTTGAGCCGTTCCTGTAAAAAAAAAAGTGAGCCGCGAACCGGAAAAGCGTCTGCCGATCACAATTCAACAACAGATTATGAAAGAACGGATAACGCTCGAAACACACGGATTCTTCCTGATGTAAGAGGTGAGTCTCCTCTTTGTTTTGGTTGTTTTGGCATCGACATCATCCTGGCGCGCAACGTTCTGCGACTCTTAAAAAAAAACAGTAAAAACGGTGAGAAACGCTGGCAGCGAAGGCCGTTAGCGATCAGGAAACGGCTGGCAGTGAATGAGTTAATGATTAGTAACATCGATAGAGAAAAGATTCAGCTCAGGTGAAGAAAGCCACCCAGCTCCCGTGCAGAGACAAAATCATGAAAACTTTGTCCCCTTAAGGATTTTTGACGTGTCCCACAAAAGAGTTAACATGCAGGCATTTTTATTATTTACTGTTAAAAGACTCAGAATCAAGAGCAGCAGAGAGTCAGAAACCTCTGCTTTAATACTCAGGGTATTAACAGAAAACATTCCTACAATCTCAGACACAAATCAGGTAAATATCAGAGGAGAAAAGTGATTTCTGATGGTTACTCACCCTTCGTATTCATGCCGGTTGTGGAGAATCCTCATGGTTAAGCAGGCAGCCACAGCGATGATGACGAGCACAAACAAAGCACCACAAATGGCTAGAATTATGATGGTGGTGTTGTTCTGGGGGAGAGATTCTGGAAAAAAAGACAATACTTAGGGTCCAAAACCAATGGAGTAAATAAACTTCACTAATAACGTCTATGTGCTGAATTTCTCATAATAAAATAAACCCTGGAGAAACCGACTTCTGCTTCTGCATCAAGCTAAAGTCAGACGCGCTTATCTAGACACCAGTCTGGGGTCATGAGCTCCAGGACGCAACACTCTACCAGAGTTCTGTCCAGTCCTGGTCCTTCAGGACCGTTACCCTGGGTCGCTCAGACACTAAATCAGGTGTATTTGAGCAGGGACAAAAGCAGAACAAAAGGAGGTGCTGGTGGGGTTCTCCTTTACAAACATGCTGACCCAACATGGAAGGTGCAGCCACTGATCTGGAGGAAAAGCAGCTGCTATCCTCCGCCCGCTCCACCACCCTGTGGTCTAAAGCCTGGTTCATGCTTCTCCGTCAGCTCCGCAAGGGACAGACACGCACGGATTGACGAAAGTGTTTTGCTCTCATGCGTCTCCGTCTTCTGGAGAGTGTTGCAAAGCAATTGCCCAGCAGGACAACAGAGGGCGTAGCACTGTTCTGTGGTATCCTGTCATGTATCGGTCCAAGATGGTGTGTTTATATTGTGTTTTTTTGTATATAAAAGACTTTTAACACGGACAAATTTGTCTCTCATTCTCCTCCACCTCTTCATGCGCTCGCCACCTCCAAAGGGGTCACACCCTGGACCTGGTTATCTCTTTTGGTCTCCCTGTCATGAACCTTGAGACTTTGCCTCCTGTGTTCTCTGACCACTCTCCAATACTCTGTGATGTTACGTTGCCATGTCCTGTCCCTGTGTGTGAAGCTGCAGCTACTAGGTTCAGAGCCCTGGATGCAGAAACTGTTGCAAAGTTCGTGGACTGTATGTCTGTAAGGTTAGAGACCTTTAACCCAGATCCATCTAACATTGATCACTATTCACAACACTTTGATGTACTTTGTAATCAGGTCCTGGATGTGGTTGCCCCTCTCAAGCTTTGCAAGTCTAGACCTAGGAGGGAGCCTTGGCTCTCTGATGTCACACGGACTTGTAGATCCTCTGAGAGAAAGTGGAAAAAGGATGGCCTACAGGTCTCGCGTGAGTTGTTCAGAGCATCTCTGGTTGCTTATCAGGATGCTGTGAGGGCTGCCAGAATGGCCTATTTTGCAGACATCATTGAAACAAACCAAGAATCCCAAGATGCTCTACAAAACACTGAACTCTGTTCTGGTGTATCAGGAGCCATGCTCCATGTCTCCTACAGCTGCTGGAAACTCTGAAGCTTTTCACAGATTCTTTGTTGATAAAGTATCGGGCATTAGAGCAGCTATTTCTGGTAACTCTTTTGACCCTGTTCCAGTTCCTACATCACCACCCACCCTGAGCTCCCTCAATACCGTTTCTTAAGCCCTTTTCAGACAGACATTCTGGAACATTTGTGGACAATTCAATCCGGTTTTTAACCGGAACTGTGTTTTCAGACACACCACTTTTGTACCGGAACTTGTCCTTTCGGCTGCGTTCACACAGCAGGGAAAAGTTCCAGATGTCTGACGGCGGCGGGGGGGTGGGGTGGGGGGGGAATCGGACTCATGTTAAGAAGAAGAAGAAGAAGAAAATATCATTTCTATAGCGCCTCTCAAGATAAAAATCACGAGGCGCTTAAGCATAATTCTGCGCACACGAAGACGCATAAGAGACCTGGATGATGAAGTTCAATGGTTAAAGGAATCACTGAAGCGGTGTGAAGCGCTCCGTCGCGCGTCTAGATGGTACCGTAGGAGGCGAGCTGCCGTGGTTCGCCGCATGCTACAGCAGCGAGCTATCTAGGTGCACACAGCGTCCCCCGGTCCCCTCCTCCTTGTCCGGAACTCTACCTCACCAGTCTGAAGCAGCCACCCTGTCCGTAACAAGTCTGGACCTGTTACTAGGGGCTTCGTCCGGTTAAATTCCGGAACACGTTATCCGGATGTTTGTATTCAGACAGAAAGGTCTTACGGACAGATTCCGGAACATTTCCGTTTTTCATGGCCTGTCTGAAGGGGGCTTTATTCTGAGCTGAGTAAGCTTGTTGCAAGGCAGAAGCCATCTGGCTCTCCACTTGATGTTCTGCCGCCTCATCTCTGGAAGGCCGCCTTTCCGTGTCTTGGCCCTTCACTTGGTCAGATTATCATTGAGAGCCTCAGCACAGGTGTTGTCCCAGCTGCTTTGAAAGCAGCAGTTATTCGGCCGACCCTGAAGAAACCTGGTGCTGATGTCTCTGTGATAGAAAATTACAGGCCTATCTCTACCCTGCCTTTTACATCAAAACTGCTTGAGAAAGTCGTTTATCAGCAGCTGGTCTCACATTTAGCTGACTCTGTTTGAGATTTTTCAATCAGGGTTCAGGTCTGGCGATAGCACAGAGTCGGCTCTACTGAGGGTCTTAAATGATATCTATCTATCACTAGATCAGGGAACATCTGTGCTGCTTCTGTTGTTAGACCTGACGGCAGCCTTCGACACAGTTGACCACACGATTCTGCTTGATCGCATGGAAGGATGGGTTGGGATCAAAGGGTCTGCTCTGGATTGGTTTAGATCGTATCTCCACAACAGGACATTCTATGTTAAACTGGGTGATGTTTTTTCTTCTTAGGAGGGGCTCCGCTGGGGGGTCCCGCAGGGATCGATCCTTGGTCCTCTTTTGTTTACCATTTATCTGCTTCCTCTGGGGTCAATCATTCGTAAACATGGCCTATCATTCCATCTCTATGCTGACGATTGCCAGATTTACTCTCCATTGTGTCAGGAGAAAGAACACTCCATCCAGTCCTTTGTGTCCTGTATAAACGAGGTAAAGTCTTGGCTAATGGCCAACTATCTGCATCTGAATGAGGGAAAGACAGAGCTCATTGTTTTTCACCCCCAACAGCAGGAATGTGGGTCGTTATGTTGATCTTGGCCCTCTTTCTCCCTACTCAAAACCAGTCGTCACCAGTTTGGGGGTGAAAGTTGATGCTGGACTTAAATTTGATGCTCACACCAACTCTGTGATCCGGTCCAGTTTCTTTCACCTGAGACACCTTGCAAAAATCAAGCCTATGCTGTCAAGAGCCCACCTGGAGCGGGTACTCCATGCTTTTGTAATTTCTAGGCTTGATTACTGCAACTCTCTATATGCAGGGTTGTGTCAGTCATCACTGTGTCGCCTACAGGTTGTGCAGAACAGCGCAGCCATGTTCCTGACTGGGACCAGGAAACGGAACCACATCAGTCCGGTTCTGGCCTCCCTGCACTGGCTTCCAGTTTGCTATCGTTCACACTTCAGACTCCTCGTCTTTGTTTTTAATTTCTTCCAGGGTGGTACTCCCCCCTATCTAGCCACGCTCCTGAACAGACATTCCCCATCAAGCTCTCTGCGCTCCTCTGACCAAGGCCTGCTCGTTGTCCCTCGTTCTAGGTGTCGTAGTCGCGGGAACCGGGCTTTCTCAGTCCTAGCACCGTCACTCTGGAACCAGTTGCCACCCTCAGTTAGGCTGTCCCCATCTCTGCCAGTCTTTAAGTCGCCTAAAAACCCACCTCCTCCGCTTGGCATTTCCTGAATGTGTTTGAATTTGGCCTTTATTTATGTTGAATTTATTTCCCTGTTTTCGTTGGTTCACTCTATCCCTTGTTTTACCCATTTGTCTTCTACTAGAATGTTTTACCTTTTTTTGTAATTTGTAATTTGAACTGCTTTTATTTTTGATTTATTCACCATATTTAACTTTGTCATGTACAATGTTTAGCGCCTTGGGCTACCCGACAGGGTTGCGGAAGGCGCTATATAAATAAAGCTTTGATTGATTAAACCCACGTTTCCTGTCATTTTCATCCGCAGATAAAACGTTTGCTGTGCATCTTTTCACTCCTCTGGTCACGGAGAATAAAACATTCATGTTTTTAGAGTTTTTTCACGAGGTATTCTTCAAGCTTCTCCGTGTCTGCCGCTAGTTATTCTCGGCTCTCTTTATGTTTTTGAGGGCGCAATGGTGGCGGTGTAGACAACAGCGGCGTCCTGACCAATCACAAGCTTGCGTTGCCCGTCTCGACTGACGGATGTTTAGAAAAGAGAGCTTGACTCTGTCCGTCCTTGCGGAGCTCTCCAGCAGGCCTGCAAGGACATTGCGTGTCTCCGCACTGACGCAGACGGAGAAGCATGAATCTGGCTTTACTCTACGCTATGGAAAGATCTGCATATGGTGATTAACCCAGCTCAGCGCATCATAGGCTGACCCCGCCCTCTCTAGATAACACGGCCAGCTCCGGGAGTCTCTGCAGGGTTCAGGGAAACCTGTCTATGAGCTGCCCCATCCTGGAAAGATTCTGTGTGACCTCTGACCCTGTGGCAGACGGTGCAAATGCTCTGAATCCTTTAAAGCAGGGGTATTCAGCTCTGGGCCTAGAGGGCAGCTTTGCAGCACGTTTTAGTTTGAACTCTGTTTCAACACGCCTGACTTCAATCAGCTGGTGGTTAACAGGCTTCTGCAGAGCCTGATGAGCTGCTGCACAGGTGATTCAACCACTGAATCAAGTGTGTTGGAACAGAGGAACCACTAAAACGTGCTGGATATCGGCCTCCAGGCCCGGAATTGAATACCCCTGCTTTAAAGGTCTCATCCACTCATTTTTTCAATAAATCTGCTGCGGTGTCTAGAATGAATGAACATTTTACGAGTCGTTTTCTGTGGGAGAGAAGCTCTGGTGCTCCTGTTTCAGGGGATAGAAGTAAGTCGGAAGAGTGGGGGGTGGAAAACGACGGAATTAAGATTCCTACTCATGATATCTCACCTCTGACTCGCCAACAACAACATGAGTCTTTCGCTGCCTTTGTTTGCTCTTCTTTCTTGGGTAAAAAAACGCAACGATGATGTTTTATTTCCACAAATAACATAAACCTGAACGACTTCCACCATGTGGTGGGGTAGCTAATGGTTAGCTTCTACTAGCTGAGACACACTCTGCTCTTTCCTTCTCTTGGGCGGTCTCAATCCAAGGTGTGCGGGCAACAGATGCAAATTTTCTGTGGCGTAAAGGAGACTGGCCATTTCTGACCCATCTCCTCTCTGCGGCTAATGAGGGGTTTGGAAAACGTGTCACCTTCAGCCTGCAGGTGCAACTCAAGAGTGACCAACTGTGTTTCTAAAAGAACAAATATCTCACGGTTTCTCAAAGAAAAAGACCTTTAAAGAGGCCGTCTATACCCTGGTTACTAGCACGACAGCACCAACCCCCAGTAAAAACCACTGGCCTTCAGGTAATTCATAGTTCGAAGCTTCTTCTATAAACGCAACCGGTAAACTACAAAACGTTTATTCTTAGGTTGTCAAAAAAAAGCCACCAAAAGGACAAGTTTCACACTTTGATGCTTTCTCAGTGATGAAGATGAGCTGCAGCACAACCAAGCTGTCTAGCGTTTCTCAGAAGTTCTTCAGAGACATGAGCCAGCTTTTAGTGGGGGTGTCTCTCAGTGACAGCAGCTTATTGCAGGACGAGCATAAAAAGCTTTTGATATCAAGTCTAGGGCTGCTCAATTAATCGAATTTTAATCACAATTACTATCTGAGTTTTGAACGATTATGCAAACAAAACAAGGCGATTATTTGCTCCTTCCGCTTGCGCTGCCCTGAGTTGCAAATGAAGCGCTCCTCTACAGTGTTGCCAACTTAGCGACTTTGACGCCATTTCCAACAGCTTTTCAGATCCCCTTCTTGACTTTTTAACTCTTAAAAGTACCTAGCAAACACCTCAAAAACATCTCTGGTAACCCTTAGCTACTTTCTGGATAACTGTCGCTTGCCCCTGATTGCTGTGAGAGCAGGTTGGGGGGTGGGGGGTGCAGCTGTGGTTGGGACAATTATTACATTAACTGATGGACTTGTAAATAAATAGTTTATAAATAAGGTAGAAATAAGTTCCTCACGCTGATAAATAATAACTAATCTCTCTGAGGACACGGTGCTAGGGCACACTCCTACAGCACCTTGACATGACTCAATAAATGTTATGCAACATTTTGTGAACATCAATTTATTTACATTTATTTGTTATAAATGCCACTGTATAATTCTTGCTGTCAGTATTTGCAAGATATTGGTATTTGGGTCTGTACTGGTTAGACTTAAATGAGTTAAACCAAGGACTATAGCCCTTGGGTCATAAACTATGAGCTATAAGTATATTGGTCTTTTTATACTGGGAATCAGGAGTTATTTTAGTGATCATCTTGTTTCTTATTTATTTTTGTCCTGATTGTGCCCTGAGCAATTTTATGACTGAATAAAAACAAATAAAATCAACATAAATTGAAAAATCGCCCCTAAATAATCGAGATCTCAATTTCAGTCACAATGATCGTGATTATTGTTTTTGCCATAATCGAGCAGCCCTACTAGTGACGATAAGCTTCATAAGCTGTGAAAACCACGAACCCGCTCTGCTGGTCAGCCACGTTTGACTGGAGCACACGTGTTCTATATTGCACTGATTTTGTTTCCTCAACACAGAGAAACAGCAAACTCCCACCACCGCTCAACCGAAGGATAACAAGTCATCACGCAAACTCTCTGACTTCAAGCAAATAAGAAAAACAAAACAAGTACAAGCCTGCTGGGTTTCTGTTCCAGGGCCGCTTCTACAAACTGGGAGCTTCTGCACAAATATTTCATCCATCACACTAAAGGTTTTCACTGTTTACCTTGTATTAAGTGCCATTGAGGGTAAAAGAACCATGAATTACTTGTTGTGATCATCACACTTTAAAATCACCTACATCCCTGAATTTTTGCTGGGGCGCTGCAGGTTTCTCCGGTGGCGCGGTTTGGTTTATCCTGAAGGTGTTGAGAAGGTTTAGAGGTGAGTAAAGTGAGATTTAAAAGGAGATTTCCAGGTAATCCAGGTGTGTTTACTGTGGATTTTCAGCGTCGTTTTAAATCAACTACAGGCTCGCCCTGATTGTTCTGACCAAAAAGGCTCTTTTAGAATAAAAACAAATTCAAAAGACATTTCTTCAGAAGTAAAAAGCCCACAGCCCAGATAGTCACCTTTCAGAACCACCCTGAGCCTGGTCTGAGCCTGCGTTCCAATTATGTCCGGCGGGTTCTTCACATCGCAGAAGAAGGTCCCGTTGTCGCTGAACTGAGCCGGGTTCAGCTGAATCGAGACGTCCTTCTTGTTGATGTCTCCGATGAACTCAACTCTGTCTTTGAACTCGTCTGGTCCCGGAAATCCCTTCCCATTGAGAAAATAGAATATCTAGGAAAAAGGAAAGATTCAGACGAATGTTGGGGAATTATTGGCTCCTCCTTCTGTTGCTGCAAACAAAATAAAAAATGTTAAAGCAGCAGTTCAAAATATTAACAGCTTCTGATTTTGACATGGACGGGACCAAACAAGAGCAGCGAAACCATCAGCAAAGCTCCTGTTTGCTGATTAATGAGCTCCTGGCAGGCCGGAGTCTGACCAGAGACTAGAAATCCTGCAGCAGCGTTAGAACTGAAAGTGAAACATGGTTTTCTTTCAGTCAGAGACTCACGGCTCACAGAACAAAAGCTTTTTAACTTTTAAAATAATAAATCTGATCAAATTTTCACACTGGAGCAAAAAATAATAAAAACACCCCCAACCCCCGGTGTGACGATCTCCAGACCTGTATGCAGACAAACCTCCGTCCTCATTATGCAAACACTTTCTAACAAACTGAGTGGCAGTTTGTTAGAAAGCACACGGCTGAAACTTCAGAGGACTAAAGCTCCGGCTCATTGTGCAACGCCCTCTGCTTACATCTGTTCTGGCATGACTGCGCTGCAAATGAAAGCCCCGCAGGTCATGCCATTACAAGTACAGGGAGGCCCCCGCCCAGTCCGATGGGTCTGTAAACAAGAGGTCTTTAAAATGGGACATGATCCAAGCTCTCCAGAAACTTGCAGCTGCATCTGCGTGTAGAAATGGGACTTTTCTGTTTCTGCTAATTCAGCATTCTAAGCCCCGTTTGTCCAAACAAGAAACATGGTGTTCAATTAAACCTCCATAGTCACAGGGCTGAATTTGTTTGTTTGCTGTGGGTAGATGACCTGAATAAAAACACTGCTTGCAAATTGGGCAGCAACAGCAACATCAATGAGAAAAGGAAAACACTGAACGAAAAGTAAAAGCTGGGTCACTGGTGACACAGAATCAGCAGAAGGAAACAGCTGCAGCTTTTCTCCGTGATCCAGATAAAACAACCCCAGGAAAACACGCCGAGTCAGTGGGAAACCTTCCCAGAGCAGATACGAGCAGTGGGGACTCACCACAGTCGGAGATTTGGAGAAACGAGTGTCGGGCTCACTCGACTGGAACGTCCATGTCATCGAGGTCAAGCTGCTGACCACTTGGTTGGTCTTAAAGGTGCATCGTAGGACCCCCGTGGTGCCATTCTGCACGATCACCTCGGCGTCGGTGTAGATGTCGATCGCACACGCAGGCTCTGTGGCTTTATTTTAAAAAAGGAAAATAAATAAAAAGATTTCTGGTGAAAACCGGTGCAAAAAAGCTCAATTTACGTCTGCAGTGGGGAGGGGGGGGGGGGGGGGGGTACAAACGGAAATCTGTCCTGCATCACAACAATGAAGAGCTCAGCGGGTATGGAGGACCCTTCCTGCCAAAGCAGACACTAAATCAATAAACAAGGAAGTAAAATGTAAACAAATAAACAAATGTGGAAATAACTAAATAATTTCCTCATTAATTTTCTATATTCCCCTCATTTATTTACCAACTATTTTAGCAGGAAGAGTCTTCAACAAGCAGGAAGCCTCAAATGAGATGATGAAATGTGGCTCGGGCGGCAACATGAACGTTTATCTGCTGGTGAGGGGAAGCTGTCGAAAGGCTCTAAACCTTTGAGAGGAAATGTGAAAGCGTGTTTTAGAGGAAGTGTCAACAGGACTGAGAAACTGTACGCAGACCCAACTTAACTACAGAGTTTCAAAACTTTCAGGAGTTTCTGATTTCCTTGAGGCCCTTCGTATTAAAACAATGGACAAACGTAATGAATGCATTTGTTCCAATAAACAAAATCCGCCGCTCTGGAAGGTTACCGCCACAGCCAGATTTTCATCTTTAATCAAAACAATTTTTACAGGATAAGAAGTGAAATTACTGGCGAGTCATGAGTGAGTTGTATCAGAAACATTTGGTTTCAGGCTCATCTGTTGTCTCCGACACAAAACTGCAGCTAGCTGCAGAAAAACCTCTTCCTGTTGTTAAAATAAGGCGTCAAAAAATATCTTCTAATGCTAAAATCAGCTTATTTTTCTTTGACCTAAAATCTCCAGTCAGGCTTTATTATAGTTATTATCAGCTGGTAAATCCATCCAATAATCGCTCGAGCTGTAATACGATTCTATCAAGAAAAAGTAAGGACAAAGGTAAAATCTGTTGGTGCCAATAAATAATTAATGTATAGCTGAATTATTAACAAGGCTGTCTTATAAAATAAAATGCAATCAGTCATTTAGACAGTAAGGAAATAAAAGAGATGCTTTTTAGTCTCTCTGTGTTGTTTTAGCAACTAGTGTTCAGTCTTTTCTGGAAAGTTGTGCATAAAAATTATGTGGAAAAATAACCAGACGGTCACGTTAAACCTGAGTCTGTATCTGAGCCCTAGAAGGGTTTAATTCACCTTTAGTTTCATTTTAAACTTATTTCTTTTTCATATTGGTTTGTGATTAAAAGAATTTATTAAAAATGTCTCTACAACTGAATAATGATCACAGTTTATGTGATTTTGTGCAAATACTTTGAATTCAGGAGGTATGGATCCTACATTTTTACAGAAAATGGTAAATCATTGTTTTGTTTTTGACAAATTCAACAGATTTTAGATATATTTTATTGTTTGGTAGCAAAGTTTTCTGCCTGCAGAACAAAGCTGATTATATTAAACATGTAACCCAACAGGTTACTTATTAATAACGTGCTCATGGTAGTTTTTCTAAGCTTACTGCACATTCACCTTCAGGGCATCTTGACAGCTTTACTACAAACAGTCAATCTAAAAGTTGCTTCTAAATGTTAAAGGAAGAGAGAAAGTCTTTGCTGTCTGCAGCATTTAGACTCGGGGTTGTCTAAAAAGACAGGGACAGAGATTCAGTGAATCAGAGGCAAAAGCAGCTTGAATACCAGACAAAAAGAAGGAAGTGTTGGGGGTCGTTTCCTCCCCAGTTACATGATATCAGTCTAAGATTTATAGCAAAACCACCGTAAACCACCTGTGTTTATAGCAGATAAGCTTCAGCTAGAACAAGATTATTCTGTGTGTGTGTGTGTGTGTGAGACGGCAAAAGACCTATAATGTAAAAATCTAAAATGAGGGGTCAGTCCACCAGCTGACGGAAGTAACCCTTTGTTTACGTTTCCTGACCTAAACGACAAATTCTTCTAAATTCAAGATTTTTCAGACAATGTATTTATTTGGATTTTATGCACTTATTAAGGGGTGTCAAACACTAGTGTTCGTTAAATATGGTTGAATATGTTAAAAATTTTAGGTAGTTTTTTTAATATATTAGATGTTTTCTGTTTCAGAACATTTTCTAAGATAAAAGCAACACTTTAAATCAACACCCATCAGGTTGATCCTTTTTTTTCATTATCAGTAAAACTGAATAAAAGCAAGGATACAACTTTACATTAAAATGAGATTTACTCATGTAAGCAGGTGAACTGTTTTCTATCTGCTTTTCATTCCAATCTCAGCATCAGATGCTGAGATTGGAATAGATACGATGATTTATTGTGAAATCTCGGGCCTGCAGCTGAGTTTGAATTCGTGCTGCTAATAGATGAGTAAAAAATCTGATAGTAAATGCTGCTGCTGAAGAGAGGAACGAGGAAATCAGATGCTATCACTTGGTTTGGAGGCTGGCCCGAACATTAGCAACACAGCTGATCGCCTTGGTGCTAGTATCAACAAATCCCTGCAAATATAACGCATCGTGATCCATAAACACTGCAAATAGTAACAATATTGGGGTGTAAATGTTGGTCAACTAAAAGAAAATCCTCTCTGGGTGACACGTAGACGTTCGGCTAACAAAACAACAAATATGTACAATAAGAGTCTTGATCTTGGATGCGTTTTCCGTGTTAAATGTGAAATTTAAAACACTTTTTGTAACCATCCATCGAGCTAGTGTCTTTTTTTAAAAGCCAAACATGAACGAAACGCTCGTTTTCTTTTATCCATCTTCCAGAAGAAGCCCACCGAAGGGCGGCAGCTACTGCTCCAACCATACTCCATTCAGATTTCCCCACATTTAACTGATGTGATTTCTAACGACTCAGCAGCGCTTGTGTAAACAAGCGACTACCGACCACTGTTAAAACAAATTTATTCCCCAGTGTTTTCATCAAAAATTTAACCCGCAGGGGTCAAACAAAGGCGTTTAATCCGTGAGATTGAGGATGGGGGTGTAAACGTTGGTTGGCGAACCTGATCTCCCACATTAAAGGCATTGCCTTCAATCAAGCCTTACATTATAAAGATTTCGCCCATCTTTTGTTTCTAATACTCACCGAATACGACATATAAGACGAGTCCAGTCCATAAAATACCTCCGAGCGAGTTATTTAGCCATCTGGGCTCCATTGCGTTGTTGTAAACAGGAGTAGTTCCTCGGATTTTTTTCTCTACCTTTACCGTCCCAGTCTCTTCTCCTCTTCTTCGAAGCCACACATGCGCTGTTTAGTGAGGCGGGTACTGCCCCCGCCGGCCGACCTGATAACTGCAGCTACTCTCCACCAGCAGCTCAAAAATGTCCGTCATCTTTAAACTTGTCTTATTTAACAGTCTTCCAAGAAAATTATGACCAACATTATGTCTGTAAATCAAACAACATGGCTGTTTATTCTCCAAATGGGAAGACAAGTCATGCTAATGTCTTGATTTTTTTTTAATCAATGCAAACAGATAATCAATTATCAGTGATTTTGTGTGGCCTGAATTGTGGTGTGAAGAGGGCGGAGTTAACCTTCGAGGGCCAGGTGTGGGTGTGATGAGAACCGATGAGAATACGGGAAGAGATAATGAGACTGGGGAGGGGAAGGCTCGTTGTTGGGAGAACAGAACAGTCGGATTGCTTGAGCGGACGCGGAGTCCTGGTGACGGGGGGTGGGTGCCGATCGCAGCTGTTCAGGGCTGCCGGTGTTGTGCCATAAATCGACTCGCTGCCAAAAAATGATCAGCCACCGCGGGATCGCGCACGGTTAGGTAATTGCATTTCGAGACGAAATTCACCAGGATTTCGCCCTAAAACTCAGCATATCTAGCAGCAATATGGACATTCAGAAAGCAGAGATAACCTCTTCCGGTACTTAAACAGATGTTTATGCGGATATTAGTTTTTCCAGTTCGGAAGTTGTTTTAAGTGTTGCTATTTGTCTTAAACGTTCACAATGAGGATATATTAATCCTTTTTGCAATATTTGCGATTGAAAGATGGTTTGTGCCACAAACTTTGTGGTAAGAACTGGCTATCTTTATGTTACAGCCTTGATACTAAAAAATAAATAAACAATGTAAAATGGCGCCCTGTATTGAATGTAAACGTTGTATAAATGTAAATAAACAATTCTCCAGCGATTTGATTTTTTCCCCCTTCCTTTCTTTAGTCCACTTGACATGGAGCCACAGTTAACTAGTTTGGGGCACATTTTTACTTGAAAAATAGTATTTAAACTGATCAAGCTTGGGCTTTAATGACACTGTGTAGGTTACTATCTATACATTACTTTGCTCTATTTAAAAGTAACAGGATAAAAGCACTTAAGCACATAAAATTAAGATTGTCACTTGCCAAGTAGAGACTACACCCTCCTGTTTACCTATAAGAAACGCCTCAAAATATCTTTAAATTCTTTATTGATGATTTAATTGTAGACATCTAAAATGGCATTTTACTTGGGTTAACATCAACCCATGGCGAACCACAATTATTGGGGCAGGTGTGCTGGCAGGACCAAGACTGCCAGGTAGAACGAAGGGTGGGTTCTGTACAGGTGGAGGAGGGGAGTGCCGGTCAGGGTTGTAGGATGGATGAATTGGCCCAAGCCCAGGCGGATGATCCGGTGCTGCAGCACATTATCATTGTTAAGAAGACTGGGGGGTCTTGTAGCCCAGCTGAGGAGGAAGGTCTGCAGCCATTTGCCAATGTGTGGGATCAGCTTAAGCTTCAGGTGTCCAGGCTCGTGAGTGTTGCTCCGGCATACTCTGATGCTGCCTCCCATGTGCAGGTTGTCCTGCCACAGTCTATGGTGCCTGATGTCCTGAGGCAGTTGCATAATGTCCCCACTGGAGGACATTTGGGAAAACTGCAGGGTAAAGGACCGCTTCTTTTGGTCAGGGTGGTTTAGGGATGTTAGGATGTGGGTCAAGGAGTGTGTTGATTGTGGCTCTCGGAAAACACAGGGGGTGCAGCCTTTGGCCCCGTTGCAACCTTCGGTAATAAGTAGACCCTTTGAATGCATTGCCGTGGACATCTTGGGTCCTCTTCCTGAGATGGGGTGCAGAAATAAGTACATCATGGTTGTTGGGGATTATTTTTCAAAGTGGACCAAGGCCTTCCCACTCCCTAACCAAGAAGCGAGATCAATTGCAAAAGTCTTGGCCGAAGAGTGGGCGTGTCGATTTGGAGTACCACGCAGCCTCCACTCCGACCAGGGCCGTAATTTTGAGTCCACTTTGTTTCAGGACTTGTGCAGGTTGTTGCAAATCCATAAATCTCGGACATCCCCTTATCACCCGCAGTCAGACGGCTTGGTTGAGAGGTTTAATAGGACACTCTTAGCTATGTTGTCTTTGTTTGTAGAAGATGATCAGCTCAACTGGGACTCCCTCTTGCCCTATGTAATGGTGGCTTACCGGAGTGTAGTAGAATAGAATAGACTTTATTGTAATTGCTCATGGCAATTAAATTACAGATGGTCCGCCATCAACAGTGCACAAGACAATAAATAACAATAAATGTCAAAACCATAGAGGACTAAAAACAATTTAAAAACATTTAGCAAACACCAAGAAAGTACAACAAGTGATTCAGATCTGCTAAAACAACTAGTGTCCATGCTAGCACTGCTGTTACTCCATACAAGGTCCTGTTCAGTCGAGAGATTGTATTACCGTTGGACATTATGCTAGGTGTGGGTAAGCAGGAGTCTTTTTCCTTGGCCAATGAGTATGTGGCAAAGCTGCAGGATACGCTGTCCACTGTAGTGGAAGCAGTTAAGCAGCATCAGGCGAGGGCTTCAGCACGGCAGAAAGAGTCATATGACTTGCGGGCTAACTTCCAGTTTTATTCTGAGGGGGGAGAGGTGTGGGTGAGAAATAAGACTAGAAAGTGGGGAGTATGTCCTAAGTTACAGAGGTGGTACAAGGGGCCCTACAAGGTAGTGGAGCGCATTACTGAGGTGCTGTACAGGCTAGTGCCAATACAAGGAGGCCCTGAGTGTGTGGTTCATTTCAACAGATTTAAGCCCTTTGCTTCTTCCTTGGCAGTTTCAGTGCCAGTGGTCGTGGGTTCCAGAAGATGGGAGTGGCGGAGATCTGTACAACCTGATCCTGATTGGAGCATGGACGATCAACCGGGGACCACCACATTGACAGGCGAGAGGGGGTCGCTGGCCTGCGAGTGAGGACACATCCCGTAGGAAGCTGGAAGCGAGGCTACCGGAGGAGGATCAAGGTGATGTCCGATTAGGAACCACGCAATTCCACCATCGACAGGCTGGAGGACATCATCATCCTGAGAGAGGGGCGTCTGACGAGGAACTATCCCAGGAGGAGTCAGAGAAGGGGATATCTGAAGAGGATCAGCCTAGGTGTGGACCTGGTGAGGGACCAACTGAGGGAGAGCAAGGAGCGATAGAAGAGGCAAGGTGTCACGCTGGCGTTTCTTCTGGGGCCACTGCTGGGATGGAGAGCATGGTACCACCCCTATGTGTTACTGGGTTGGGGGAAGAAGGGGCAGTGGGACGCCGTGGTGGGCGCCTTCGGAGGCCACCTGTGTGGACTGCGGACTATCATATGGACTTCCAGGACTCGGGACAAGTCCTGTCGGACATGGGGGGGAGTGTGGTGTGAAGAGGGCGGAGTTAACCTTTGAGGGCCAGGTGTGATGTTTTAGTGCACTGATGAGGACACGGGAAGAGATAAAAAGACTGGGGAGGGGAAGGCTCGTTGTTGGGAGAACAGTCGGACTGCCTGAGAGGACGCGGAGCCCTGGTGATGGGGAGTGTGTGCCGATCGCAGCTGTTTAGGGCTGCCGGAGGTGAAGACAGCCAGCGAGAGGAGAGGCTCTCCAGTGAGAGGAGGGGAGGCCAGCCGCCTCCTGTAGTTAGCCAGGGCCAGGACATAGAGGGCGCCGTGGCTAGCAGCGACGACTCCCCAGACGTTTACCGTCTGGCGATCACCAGGCCGGAGGATTCAACTGCCGCCAACGACGTTAGATCCCGGGGTGTTGGATGGCGCTGGAGCTTTGACCCCGGGAGAGGGTGGTAACGGACTGACTAGATAAGTGTGCTGCTTATTTTATATGGGGGTGTTTTAGCAGGGAGGGATAGTTTTTATTGGTGCTTGTTGCAGCATGATAATTGTGTGTCTTTAAATAATCACTATTGTGCACTTGTGTCTGGTGGTAATTGGAAGGTTCTGACAAGGACAAGACTTCTGTCCATAGCGGACCCACAATAATATTACAATATTTCCAAAATGGTAAATTTGATCTCTCTTGTTGAATGTTGATGTAAATGTACATTTTCAAACTATTTTCATATATTTACTAATATGTTGATATATTTTAATCTATTTTGGAGAGTATAACTTACATAAAAATAGTAATTTCTACATTTACAAAGTAAAATAAATTCACTCTTGTGGCGTTCAAGTTTGGGCACCCTTGACTTAAATGCTCAAATGGGTAAGAAAATGATTAAAGTGAGGGTCAATGCATGGGTGGAGACCATCGACATATACGTATATGGACAATGAGTTTCCATAGCATCCAATAACACATTTTTGAAGAGAAATGGGAGGTGGCCACCACCGCCATTTTGACCGTGTCACAGGTTCTGTCAAGCCCAGACAATTCCACAAAAGGGAAGAGAGGTGGAGCTGAGGGTGGGGCTGTAAGGCAGTCAGGCTTTATTACGACACCCGGTCAAACTAGCTACAAGCTAACCTGAAGCTAACGCGGAGGTGGGAGCTAACAGAGGTAGCAACCAAGCTACAACCAGAGTTAACTGTGCACAACACCAGAGCTTCTGAGTCAGAGATACGCCGGGCTGACCGCTGGGCAGAACCGGGTGGAACACAGTGGTCTCCCGAAAGCTCCACAAGCCGGCAGCCGCATAGCAGACAAGCGCCGCTGTGATCTGAGATGCGCAGAGCTGCCGCTGGGGAGAACCGGGTGGAAAGGTTTCCATCCCAGAGCTCGACAAGCCGTCAGCCCGCGCAGCTAACAGAAGCCGCGATCAGACAGAGATGGACCTTGCTGCGGGGAGGGGATAAGGGTGGAAAACATCGGTCTCCCGAGAGCTCCACAAGCCGATAGTCGGAACCCAGCTCCACCAACATGTTATATTTCAACCCATTTTCTAAAGTGCAGCATTATGTTAAATGCACTGGGTTTTACCCTATTACATTTAAATTTCATGGTTAAACAGTACATTTTAAAATCTAAGCTCAGCTTGGCAGTGACCTAAAATACATAAATATAATTTTACTTACCGAAAAAAATGAAGTGGAGACTCCTTGGACGCTCTATTAGCGCAATTAATGCCACAGCAAGTCATTTTGTCCAATAATTGCACAAAAAATATCCCAAAAAGAACGCACAAATGCTACAACTAATGGTCTAAGTTGAGAGACTGAAAATGACCAAACAATTTTCAGGCGAGGCCGAGAGTCTACTGAGGCCTTTCCATGGAGCTAGCTCTGCCGTCACGTGGGTCGGATGCTCATTAATTATACAGAATTTTAGGCTTTTAATACACTTAAACAGAAGAGTGAGAAAAAAATTCACCCCCTCAGAGTTGTCATGAGTGTAAACTAGATCATTTAAACAAAAAACATGTTTTGGTACCAGGCTGTAAACATGTTTATTTCTGCTGTAAAATTGGTATTTTTAACATGGGAGTCAATGAGGATTTGCTCGCTTCTGACACCAGCCCCTAGTGGATGAGGGTGGAACTGCAATTTATTTCATTTCGGCGTTGGACTCAATTTCTGTCCCGCATTGTGGGGGCTTGGTGGAAACGTATTTCATCCACACTTCCTGTTAGGAAAACGCTTCTGAAAGAGGCGTCACCTGGCGGACCGAGAGAGCGGTGCCGTGGCAGTGATAGACCGCCCCCACCCCACCCCCCCCCACCCCCGCATGTGCTGTCAGAGTTTCTTAATTTAAAAACTTTTTAAAGAGCAAGTCACCCCTACTACATTCTTAGTCAACTCCCACTTCCTGTTTGAAAAATGCAACAAATGCTGTTGCCTCGCGGACCGAGAGGGCGGAGCCGCTAACAAATACACACACACACAGGCTCATGACATTGTGACATCATATGGTACCAGTTAACTGTCTAGGGTACCTCTTAGCCAATGGCGATGGCAGATTTAAATTCAAATGCAGTGCAGTTTTTACCTGACAACGGCACGACACTGACAGTTTTAGGCAGAAAATTTAAATTTTCACTAAAATGCACTAAAGTGCAAAACTATTGACTACACGTGTCTGCAGCATGATTAGACACACATTTATAGTTTATCAGACAAAAGTTGATTTGGGGGTGACTTGCTCTTTAACGAGCGTGCACGCGCACACACTCACACGACCGCTCAGGAGAACAGCAGACAGATTCTGCAGCATTCTGGAGGATTTCCCGTTAATTACAATCATTAGATGACAAGGGGAGGAGGGCTTTTTTTTCTAAAAAGGCAAGCAGCTCCAAGCGCCAATGTGTCACATCAGCAGCTGAGTGGCTGAGCCTGGTGGAGGTGCGGCTGCCTCACCTGGAGACCAGTGCAGTGCAGCCACGTAGTCATTAGCTGACGTCATGTTTTTCAGCTTAGCCATCAGCAACAACTGTTTCTACATAAATGTGGAGCAGAGATTTTAACCTGATGGTTTTGAAATATTAACTTTAAAGTAAGTTGCACTAAACTGCCACACCAATGATTACACGTGCACAGCACCATTACACTCATCTATACAGGTTAGCAGCAAAATAAGAAAAATTAGGCGTTACTTACTCTTTAACTCTAAATGTTTGCAAACAATTGACACTTTAGTCCTTAAAATGATCAATAAATACATGAAAAACTTAATCTCCAACCAAGAATAAAACATGAATCCATGTTAAATCACGTAATTAAACAGTTTACACGCATATTCAGAAAACTGGTGAATAAAGGGTTTATTTTGAATCAAGTGTTGCTACACTGACGACTGTAAGAATAATCAGAATGGGAGACACGTCTAATAAAGCAGAATCAGATAGTCTTTGGTTGGTATGTTTCCAAAGACATGGGTGTGTTCTTGAGCTGTTCCAGAAATGAAATGAAGACAATACTCCCCAGTAATGAGCAGAAATCAGTATGAATGGTGTCTACTGAGGTTTTAATGGCATTTTAATCAACCAATCAAACATCAGATTAACGTCAGCAGCATTTACACAAATTTGTCAGTCTAGGATCAGCAGGTTTCATGGCTGTTCTGTACGAGTAAAAGATTAATGATGGTTTAAATGTAAAGGTTCCCCTGAATAACACGTTCTCGTCTTTAAAACTTTCAGTGGGAGTTCAAAGGGAAATAATGCAGATGTTTTCCAGGGAGGAGCAGTGACTCTCAGCCTTTATCTGAAGGGGAACAGCCCCATCTTACACTTTTCATGAGCTATTGAAATATTTGTTATGGGAATGAAATAAAAACTGTGTTCTTACACTTGTCCAACTGTCCAGAAGTCCTCGCAGTGATAAGCAGACCGATTCCAGACAGCAGCGAGGAAAAAGCCATCAAAGAATCCACCTCTTTTGAATTTTTATCCATTAAAAGCTGCCCAGTAAGACTTAAAAGCTCCAGAAAGACAAAGTTCGTCGGTCCAAGGCTAATTTAGACAAAACTAATTAAAATACATTTTAAACTCTCCTTAACCTGAAATAAACTGGTTTTGCCGTTTGTTTTTGACAGTTGGGAAAGACCAGATCTTCATTTTCACACAGAATTTGCACATATCTAACAAAAAGGCTTTACTGAGACACAGAGCAGGAAAAAAAATCTGTTTAAAGTGTCTGAGAGATTGCTCGCTTTGAGTTCTGTTCCTTTTTCATCCCGGTTAAATTATGTGCAAGTATTTTCCATCCTTCATCATGTTTGTTAAAGTAAAACAAAAATTCAGGAAAAGACGCAAAAAAGGAAAGGAAAGAACAAGCAGGAGGACTAAAGATGCCATTACCAACCTCTTGGAGCTCAAAAGGGAGGAGTTGGCTATTTTCCTGGGAAGAGACAAGTTTGCAGATGAAAAGTGACTCAGATGACAAACATTTTTTGGTAAAGCTAACACAGACAGTCATATCTACAGTAGAAACAAGACACAGGTGTAAACCCACGGGGAGAGGGGCTCCACTCCCCCAGCCACAGTCACATATTTGGTTATTTACATTTTTATTTTAGTAGTGTTCTTCTTCATTATTCTATCCACGGTGTGTTCACAGACTTGAAATGTACAGAAAAACGAGCTCCTCGCGTCACATGGGTCCTCGTCCCTCTGAACGCTTCCGAAGTGGTTACAGGAGGGGTTGGGAAAAGTTACTGGAGCGGTGGAGGAGAACCAGGAAGGAGCGACCCTGGAGCCAGTCTTCACTCAGAGGTCATCATGTCTCTGGAAGATGGTTGATGTCAGTCAAGTTGGTGTCATTGAGGATTACTTTGATTCGATCCAGAGATTCCGCCTGTCGTATTCGCTCCAGCTGGACCTGAGGGCGTAAACAAGCATGGCTCGGTTATTTATCAGGGTTTTACAAAGAGTCTGGCTAAGAGGTGTGCAGCTTAAACTAAGTTAAATCCTACAGCTTTCTTTCTTTAAAGGGATTTTACGAAGTTTTGAATTTTTATGCTCGCGATTGCCCCCTCAGGCCAAAAGCGTAATGGCAGCTTCAATAGTAGGCTCGTGCACGAGGCGCGCATGCTGTACGTGCACACTCCTTAACGAAAATAACAGCTGAGACAGTCCCGTGTGTGTGTGTGTGTGTGTGTGTGTGTGTGTGTGGCCTAGAGGACAGGAGAACGCGCAGCTAATTAAATAATTTTGTTCTGTACCTTTCTCTTTTTTATCTGTGATTTCAATGCCTTTCTGCGAGTCTCAAATAAAAATTTGGGCATCTTACTGTAAAAAAATATACCATTAATGTAAAAAAGAAACTACATAAATTATGTTCACATCTAGAATCGAACCCAGATCTTCAGCACGAGAGTCCGACGTTTTACTAGATGAGCTATAGCGCCAGTAACGTCTTCCGTATCTGTAACTTTTATATCGTTGATGACACCTGAAACAACGTTCAAAGAACGGTTCGGAGCGAAAATAGCTATTTTGTTGCTAATTTGCAGGAAATATCTAGAAGAAAGTAGCTAAGGGTCCTCAGAAATGTAGCTAGGTTCATCATTAGGCTTTAGGAACAGCGACAAAGTGGAACTGCCTCTCTCTCTGCTGCTAAAGCTATGGATAGCAAATGCTACGCGCTATGCCTGAGCATGAACGCGCATGAAGCAGCCTGCTCGACCTGAGCAGCTCTCTTTTTCTGTGATTTTACAGAAAAACTAGCAATTAGGGTTGTCAAGGTAACCGGTGTAGCGGTAAACCCTGGTAAAAAAAAAAGTTGACAATAATAATAACAGTCTTGTTTTTAAAAAATATTATCTCGTTGGGTTTACCGTAGCTGCGGTGTAGGTGCGATGACCCTTACCAGCCACCGTATCATCTGCTGAAGTTGCCGGCGACACATGCGCACTTTGTTGTTTACAACCAAAACTTTCTTGAAGCTAAAGCTGAAACAATGGCCAAAGGAGGAGACGGCAGCGCTCAGGATATTTATTATCCCTCAAAGAAGACAAAGTGGGAAGTACGGGCATTTTTTGGATATCTGAAGAATGCCGAGGGACAGTTGATAGAAGACGGCTATCCTGTTTGCAGCACGTGCAGAAAAAGTGTCTGTGAAAGGCAGCAACGCTTCAAATCTCATGACACATCTGCGTGACCATCACCCACAACTCTACAGTCAACGCAAGGCAAGCTAACGTTAGCGTTTTAGCTAAAATGCGTGATCCGAGGATTTGGGTTGAGGGAGAATGCAACGAGTTGCCATATAAAGCAGCCGCAGCGCCACTACCTACATATAAACCGTGTCGCGGACACCGCCATGTTGAAATGACGCTATGCATTACGGGGCTCCCAGGGGCAGATAAGAGTTGGTCTCCGAGAATAATTATGAATTTAACAATGATTACTGCCTGATGACATTTTCCCACATCTGCAAAGCTCACTGGAAGGACACAAACCGAGGACAATATTTTCCTGATATAGGGTTTATTACTCAAGTAAGGGTAAAAAAGTATCTGATTAGAAGGCTACTTGAGTACTGAGTATCATCTGATCTAATATTTTTAAAATGATGACATCAAACAGACAAAAAATAAGAAGTCATGGGCAAATATTGGTATTTTAAAGACTAAAGGGGAAAAATGTAAACACATAAACAACATAATTACAAAATAACACATTTTAGGCAAAATTTAGACAAACTGAGGACAATATTTTCCTGATATACAGGGTTTATGTAGTTGTCTGAAAATGTAACACGTTTAAAAACAGCGATAATACCGAAAACCGTGGTAATTTTGGTCACAATAACCGTGAGGTTAATTTTCACACCGTGACAGCCCTACAGGCAATCACAGTAAAAATGCCAGGGCTCATTCTACAGGACCAGGGCATTGCAGGAGAATGTATGAAGAAGAAATTTATTATTTCTATACATGTTTTGGCTGTCAAACTTCCATAATGCCCCTTTAAACATTCTCCAACATCTTTGGTACGTTCTTGCTGTGTTTAGTTTCAACTTGCATTTTTGGTTCTTTCGCCCATGGGGCCCGGCCGGGCCCAGCCCGAACCGGATACATGGGCTCGTCCAACTGTGGACCCACCACCCGCAGGAGGAACATGAAGGGTTCGGTGCAATGTGAATCGGGTGGCAGACCAAGGCGGGAGCCTTGGCGGTCCAATCCCCGGACAAGAAAACTAGTTTTTGGGACATGGAACGTCACCTCGCTGGCGGGGAAGGAGCCGGAGCTTGTGGCAGAGGTTGAGCGGTACCGGCTAGATATAGTCGGACTCACCTCGACACATTGCATTGGCTCTGGAACCCGAGACCTGGAGAGGGGTTGGACACTCTACTTTGCTGGAGTTGCTCCGGGTGAGAGGCGGAGGGCTGGGGTTGGCTTTTTGTTAGCCCCGAGACTCTCTGCCTGTGTGTTGGGGTTTACCCCGGGGGACAAGAGGGTAGCTTCCTTGCGCCTTCGGGTCGGGGAACGGGTCCTGACTGTTGTTTGTGCTTATGGGCCAAATATCAGTTCAGAGTACCCACCCTTTTTGGAGTCCCTGGGACGAGTGCTAAATAGTGCTCCATCAGGGGACTCCATTGTCCTGCTGGGGGACTTCAATGCTCACGTGGGCAATGACAGCTTGACCTGGAGGGGTGTGATTGGGAGGAACGGCCCACCTGATCAGAACTCGAGCGGTGTTTTGTTATTGGACTTCTGTGCAAGCCGCAGTTTGGCCATAACGAACACCATGTTCGAACATAAGGATGCCCACCGGTACACTTGGTACCAGGGCAGCCTAGGTCACAGGTCGATGATAGATTTTGTAGTCGTATCATCTGACCTGCGGCCGTATGTTTTGGACACCCGAGTGAAGAGAGGGGCGGAGCTGTCAACTGATCACCACCTGGTGGTGAGTTGGATCAGATGGCAAGGGAACATGCCGCGTAGACCTGGCAGACCCAAACGCATAGTGAGGGTCTGCTGGGAACGCCTGGCAGAAGAACCTGTCAAGACGGTCTTCAACTCCCACCTCCGGCAGAGCTTTGACCACGTCCCGAGAGCAGTGGGGGACATTGAGTCCGAGTGGGCCTTGTTCCACTCTGCGATTGTCGAGGCGGCTGTTGCTAGCTGTGGTCGTAAGGTGGCTGGTGCCAGTCGTGGTGGCAACCCCCGTACCCGCTGGTGGACACCAGAGGTTCGGGGAGCCGTCAGGCTGAAGAAGGAGGCCTACAGGGCGTGGCTGGTCTGTGGGTCTCCGGAGGCAGCAGACAGGTACCGGATAGCCAAGCGGGGTGCAGCAGTGGCAGTTGCCGAGGCAAAATCTCGGGCGTGGGAGGAGTTTGGTGAGGCCATGGAGAAAGACTATCGATCGGCTCCAAAGAGGTTCTGGCAAACTGTCCGGCGCCTCAGGAGAGGAAGGCAGCAACTCGCTCACACTGTTTACAGTGGGGATGGGGAGCTGCTGACGTCAACTGAGGCTATAGTCGGACGGTGGAAGGAATACTTTGAGGAGCTCCTCAATCCCACCAATGCGCATTCCGAGGAGGAACCAGAGCTGGGAGGCCTGGGGATGGACTGTCCGATCTCGGGGGCAGAAGTTGCTGAGGTAGTCAAACAACTACACAGCGGCGGAGCCCCGGGGGCGGATGAGGTTCGTCCTGGGTATCTCAAGGCTATGGATGTTGTAGGGCTGTCATGGTTGACACGTCTCTACAACATTGCGTGGTCATCGGGGGCAGTTCCTAGGGAGTGGCAGACCGGGGTGGTGGTCCCCATCTTTAAGAAGGGTGACCTGAGGGTGTGTTCCAACTATAGGGGGATCACACTCCTCAGCCTCCCTGGAAAGGTCTACGCCAAGGTACTGGAGAGGAGGGTCCGATCGATAGTTGAATCTCAGATAGAGGAGGAGCAATGTGGTTTTCGTCCTGGCCGTGGAACTGTGGACCAGCTCTATACCCTTGCAAGGGTGATGGAGGGGGCATGGGAGTTTGCCCAACCAATCCACATGTGCTTTGTGGATTTGGAGAAGGCTTATGACCGTGTCCCCAGGGGCACCCTGTGGGGGACGCTCCAGGAGTATGGGGTGGGTGGCTTTCTGTTAAGGGCCATTCAGTCCCTTTACCAGAGGAGCGTGAGTTTGGTCCGCATAGCCGGTAGTAAGTCGGACCTGTTCCCAGTGAGGGTTGGACTCCGCCAGGGCTGCCCTTTGTCACCGGTTCTGTTCATCACTTTTATGGACAGAATTTCTAGACGCAGCCGTGGTGTGGAGTGTGTCGAGTTTGGTGGCAGGAGAATCTCGTCTCTGCTTTTTGCGGATGATGTGGTCCTCCTAGCTTCATCCAGCTCTGACCTTCAGCTCTTGCTGGGTAGGTTCGCGGCCGAATGTGAAGCGGCTGGGATGAGGATCAGCACCTCCAAATCTGAGACCATGGTTCTCGACCGGAAAAGGGTGGCTTGCCACCTCCGGGTCGGGGGAGAGGTCCTACCTCAAGTGGAGGAGTTTAAGTATCTCGGGGTCTTGTTCACGAGTGAGGGTAGGAGGGATCGGGAGATCGACAGGCGGATTGGTTCGGCGTCTGCAGTGATGCGGACGCTGAGCCGATCTGTCGTGGGGAAGAGGGAGCTGAGCCAGAAAGCCAGGCTCTCGATTTACCGGTCGATCTACGTCCCAATCCTCACCTATGGTCATGAGCTTTGGGTAATGACCGAAAGAACGAGATCGCGGATACAAGCGGCCGAAATGAGTTTCCTCCGTAGGGTGGCCGGGCTCAGCCTTAGAGATAGGGTGAGGAGCTCGGACATTCGGGAGGGACTCGGAGTAGAACCGCTGCTCCTCCGGATCGAAAGGAGCCAGTTGAGGTGGTTTGGGCATCTGGTCAGGATGCCTCCTGGACGCCTCCCCGGGGAGGTGTTTCGGGCATGTCCTGCCGGCAGAAGGCCCCCGGGTCGACCCAGGACACGTTGGAGAAGTTACATCTCCAATCTGGTCCGGGAACGCCTTGGGGTCCTGCCGGAGGAGCTGGTGGACAAGGCCGGGGAGAGGACGGCCTGGAGCTCCCTAGTTGGGATGCTGCCCCCGCGACCCGGACCCGGATAAGCGGAGGAAGACGACGACGACGACGATTTTTGGTTCTTTTTAAAACACAAATAAGGTTTCTTTTTTACCTTGCTGATGGTCTCGTTTGCGGCTGCAAAGCATCCTCAGAGCTGACGCTGATGGTGGCGTCACTTCCTTCTACGTTTATCCGCGGGCAGCAGAGGGCGAGAACGTCCTCTGCTGCCTGCTCTACCTTCACCGATGACACAGTCCCATGCACGATCCAATGTGTAGACCCCATCTTCCCTGTTCATGGTCCCGTTTCCACGTCTCCTTATCTCTATGGCTTCCTTTATCCATCTTTTGTATTTCTGTTGTTCGGTGTTTATGATCCTTGAGAGCGGGCAGCAGAGGGCGACAACGTCCTCTGCTGCCCGCGGAGAAGGAAGTGACGCCACCATCACCGTCAGCTCTGAGGATGTTTACAGCTGGTAAACAAAACCATCAGCAAGGTAAAGAGAAACCTTTTCTGTGTTTTAAAAAAGAATCAAAAATGCACATTCTCCAACATTTTCTTTTTTTTGGTAAACTCCTCATCAAGGCAGTGGAAGCTAAATAACGTAAACAACAACAAGAATCCTGCTCACCTGAAGGGTCTGAGAGAGCTTGACAAAGTCCTTCTGAACCTGCTCGCTGACGTCCAGCTCAGTCTGCAGCCGCTGGGCTTTGTCCCGCTCATCGAGAACCTGGCTCTCTAACGCGCTCTACGGTGGACAAACGCACAAAACTACTCAAAAATCATTTCACCTAAACAGTTTCTGTGCTATTTGACCACAAGGGTTGTCATGACAACCTCAGGCTGAGGTTTAACTAAATACGCTGTCGCATTGGTAGGCTGAATGCTGTAGAACAGGTGAAAACGTCTCTAAATAGATGCGTTTTCTAAATTGTTAGGATGCACGCTGAACTCTGACCTTTGCGCTGGTGAGCTCTTTTAGCTGCTGCTCCAGGCTGCTCTTCAGGCTCTGGATGCCCCCTAGGGTTTCTGACTTCTCAGCTAAACTGCTCTGCAGCTACACACACACACACACACACACACACACACACACACACACACACACACACACACACACACACACACACACACACACACACACACACACACACACACACACACACACACACACACACACACACACACACACACACACACACACATTTTATGCCTTATTGTGTTCAGTTTCCCACATTTGTAAAGCTTTGAATGACTGATTTAAAAATAAAAACAACTATTATCTTTTCTATTATTCCTTCTGCTGCAGCACGAGATTCATAAAAATGTTTTTGAAAGAAAAAATGTTTCAATTTATCAAAAACATATTGGGAAAATACAAATTTAATTTACAAATGCACAATGCAAAAAGCATGCAATGCAGAGCATTACAATAAAAATACACCTTTAGATTTTTAAAAATGTTTCGCATATTTATCCACATCCAGTGTAGGTAAGGCAGCAAGGGTCCATCTGATTGGTCACATGTTTTACTGACAAGCAGCAGAGTGTGAGTGATGGATGTGGGGAAGCAGGATAACACGTACCCGTTCATTCTCTGCTTTTATTCTCTCCAGCTCCGTCTTCAGACTGGAGAAAGATGCTGTAGAAAAAATGAATAAGGAGATGTCGTTAGAAGGTCTCACAGCTCACCTGGAACCTAAAAACTTGAGTTATCCTTGGGAAATGTTACTTGGACATCACAAATGCTGCAAAAAAGCTGCTGGTGAACAACATGTGCTTGGCTGGTGTTAAATGGTCGGTGAGTAGGAACAGCAACAAGCTCCTAAGGTTAACTCATCTGGTGTAAAACCAACACAAGACCAAGAGAAAAGACTCAATCGGCTCATCGTCACATTAAATGGGACGAAGAACTGGAACCACAGCTGTCCATCAGAGAGGAGCAAACAGCTGCCGAGGACAGTTACGGAACAAGCTGCTTCCATCCTCTCCATAACCATTAGTCTGATATTTATGCCATTAATATGCAAATACAGGCAGTCGGAATGAGCTGTTTCATACCTTCCAAGATGTCTGTAAGGTAGTGATCAGTAGAGGTAAAACAAAAGCAGAAACAGAAGACTTAACAGAAAGTTCAAGAGAAGAGAAAAAAAAACGTTAAAGGATCTCAGAAGAGGGCGGAGTCTCACCAATCTCCTCCTTACAGCCTTCGATCTCCAGCTGCAGAGTGTCCTCCAGGTTCTCCTTCAGACACTGCTCAGCCTGGATCTGCTCCTTCAGGAACAGGATCTCAGCCTTCAGCTTTTCCTCCATGTGATCGGCCGATGTCCTCAACGCCACCATGTAGTCGCGCAGCTGCAGCACCAGGCCCTGCAGCTCCTGGGGGGCAATCAGATAACACACAAAAAAAATTCGTTTATTTGTTTACATGCAGCAAAATAGTGTTTTGGATGCAAGAAGTTATTTTTGTTTAGATTATTTTGTTGGATTTCTTCAAATTTCGGACCATGAATGAATTTTAAATGGTGTAAAAAAGACATTTCCATTCGATTCTGTTTCCCTTGAACCGCTCAGTTTCTTATTAAAAGGGACACCACTGCTCATGCTGATCTGAAATCCAACAGGAATGTCTTGAGCCCCATTCCCATCTGTACCGAGTCGGCCCGGGTCGGGTAGCGTAGGTTGTTTACATATCTGGGTGGCCTGGAATTTTCCTGGGCCAACCAAGGCTCATTCTCAGCCCTCTTCTCGAGGGGGTCTGCTTCAGGCTGACCAGGGCCAACACACCCACTGCTGACAGCAAATTCACACCTTCCATTAGAGCAAGCCTCTGATTGGTTGGTAGAATCAGCCCACATGGGCTTAAGGCATGCTCAATTCATTATCATGCTGATTACCCAGAAGCTGAAAGTGTCTCTGACTGCATTCCTTGCATACCTAAGCAAGGATGTGTGGAAACAACCGGGCCAGGCTGGGGCCGACTGGGGCTACCCGGCCTGGGCCGACCCGGTACAGATGGAAATGGGGCTTTGGAGCCGTCTCTCTGTGATTACTGATGGTCACCATGGAAACGTGGCTGTTGGTCAGGGGTTCAAACGGTTGGGATTAATTCAAGAGAAGCATCATGTTGCCTCACGTTGGTAATCTTTTATTTATAACTTGACATGATTACTTCACTTTCTTGCCTCCTAAAACAAATATTATTGGGCTTGAACCCAATTTAAGTTACAGATTAAGAACTTTCCAACCCTTGAGACATAAAATCTGAAGCATTTCCACAGATCTCCAGTGAGCTTATGAGTTATGCCCTGATGTGGGGCTGGGGGGTGCGTCAACATGGTCGGGACATAGAAGGGGGTGCGCGGCTAAATAAGTTTGGGAACCGCTGCACTAGAACATACCTCGGCAAAAATGGCAAAATTACCTCAACTTGTATTGACCTGATATTTACTTATATTCCAGAGCTGTGTTCACAAACCGTTACTAAAGCTCTAGGGTGTAGTCATCATAATTTGATTGCTTGTCAAGAAATATCAAAATGCCCAAAGCAGGAGGCAGGGTTGTCCTTTTAAGAAATGTAATCCTGATTTATTCATATCTGACATCAGTAATATACAATGTTCAGATGTTTATGAAGAACAGAATGTTAATGCTTCTCTTAACATTTTCATGGATAAACTAATGACATTGGTTGATAAGTATGCTCCTCAGAAAAAGGTCCATAAAAAGTAAGAGCGCACCTTGGTTGGATAGTAAGTTGAGATCTCTGATGCGTCTAAGGGATTAAATCAAAGCAACTGCTCAAAACTCAAGGTGTTCTGTAGACAGGAACACTCACTGTTCATTGAGAAATAAGGTTACAAAACTAAATAAGAGTAAAAAGAGAGATTATTTTAAACAGAAAATTCATAACTAATGATCATAAAAACTGTGGAAAATAGTGAATGTAATAATGTGCAAAAAGGCCAAATCACATCCAAAGTTTGTGGAGCATGAGGGGCAATTTATTACTAGACCATATGACATTGCAAAGTATTTTAACTCATTCATGCAATAACAACTAAAGTCATGATTTGCATGTTTTTACTGTGTGGGCGTCTGAACGAGCCCCCGCACAGTGAGAACAAACATCTCAGCTCTAAAGCTGATCTTCATCCGCATACGTCACACGTCACGTGATCAGGAAGCAGAAAATCCATGTGTTAGGAGATCGTTTTGGGCCGCTGCTGTAAAAAAGGTGAGGCGCGAACCGGAAAAGCGTCTGCTGATCACAATTCAACAACGTATTATGAAAGAATGGATAACGCTCAAAACGCCCGGATTCTTCCTGATGTAAGAGGTGAGTCTCCGCTTTGTTTTGGTTGTTTTGGCGTCGACATCATCCTAGCGCGCAACGTTCTGTGAGTCTTAAAAAAACTAAAAAATGTGAGAAACGCTGGCAGCGAAGGGCTTTATGGATCATAAACGGCGGGCAGCGAATGAGTTAATGAATTTTTTATTAAAAAGGTGAACTATTTAAGATCACATATGGAAATTATTGACAGTGACCCGTGTAAATTAGTTGATAAGATAATGTGGGGGGAAACTGTCAATTTAATGTTAAAACTGTAACGCATGATGTTGTTGAGAAGTTGATACTGAGTCTTTCGTAAGATATTGCCTCAGGCATAGACAATCTTGATGGAAAAATACTTAAAATGGCTGTCATTCAGCTCTCAAATCCTATATGCCATATTTTTAATAGGTCTGTTTTAAGCGGTACTTTTCCGGATCTCTGGAAACGGCTAAAACTATACCTCTGCTCAAATATGGAAAGGCAGGCTTCACTGGCTCTAATAGTAGACCAATCACTTTACTGCCAGTGTTGAGCAAAATTTTGGAGAAAGTTATTTTTAATCAAATAATGGATTATTTTAGTGCAAATGAACTGTTAACACAATCTCAACATGCATACAGACAGGGCTTTTCAACTACTGCTGCACTAGCTCACATAACCGAGGAATGGTCGACATGTCTGGGTGATAAGAAAGCAGCAGGAGCTGGGTTTTTGGACTTCACTGCAGCCTTTGACGTAATAGACCACGGCCTGCTCATTGCCAAACTTAAAGCATGTGGCTTTTCACAAGCAGCATTGATCTGGATGAATAGTTATCTCTCCAACAGGTCTCAGCAGGTTTGGTTCAATGGCAGCCTGTCTGAGAGTATCACAGCATCATGTGGCCTATCGCAAGGCAGTTGTTTGGGTCACTTTTACTTTCTAGATATATGTTAATGATCTTCCATATACTGTTAACAATGCTAGTGTGGTAATGTACGCTGATGACGCTACTCTCTCCACTGCTGCAATGACAACACCTGAATTGAATGAGCATTTACAGCAAGAGGTAAACACAGTACTGGATTGGGTGAAGAAGAATAACTTGTTATTAAACATCTCCAAAACTAAGTGTATGACATTTTGCAGCAGAAATATGTTATCAAAGACTACTTCACTAAATCTGCAAACTAACAATACCAAGGTGGAGCAGGTCACCACATTCAAACTGTTGGGTGTTAGAATAGACAACTTATTATCCTGGTCGGATCACATTGACCATATAGTCAGTATGATGGGTCGAGGAATCTTTATGTCAAGAAAGTGCTCTGCATATCGTTCTACCGCTGTATTGAAAAATGTTGTTCAAAGTCTTGTTTTATCTCATTTACAGTACTGTACAGTAGTTTGGTCCAGCGTGGCCCAGAAACATCTAAGAAAACGGCAAACAGCTCAGAACGGAGCAGCCAGAGTCGTTTTGAACTGTCCTCCTCGAACTAATGTACACGAGAGGCATTTTAAGTCGTCTTGGTTAACTGTGGAGGCAAAAGTAAAATATAGTCTCCTGATGTTTATGCAAAAAGTTATGACTAATAGTATTCACCATCATTTGAAAGAAAAAATATTACTTAGTAGATATCGCCATGAGCACACACAATAACAAGCAATAACATGGTGATAGTGCCCAGACCTAGAAGTCATTTTATGAAGAAAACCGTTCTATATAGAGGGACTGTTGAGTGGAATACACTACCAGGTTGTGTTAGGGAAATCCAAAAACAGAGCTCTTCTAAGAAGAACATAAAAAAAGACTATTCTATTAACTCATTCACTGCCAATGACGACTAAAGTCGTCATTTGCATTTTTTACTGTTTGAGCATCGGAACGAGCCCCCGCGCTGAGAGAACAAACATCTCAGCCCTGAAGCCGATCTTCATCCGCATACGTCACTGATCACATGATCAGGAAGCAACACATCCATGTATTAGGAGATCGTTTTGGGCCGCTCCTGTAAAAAAAGTGAGGCGCGAACTGGAAAAGCGTCTGCCGATCACAATTCGACAACAGATTTTGAAAGAACGGATAACGCTCGAAACACACGGATTCTTCCTGATGTAAGAGGTGAGTCTCCTCTTTGTTTTGGTTGTTTTGGCATCGACATCATGCTAGCGCGCAACGTTCTGTGACTCTTAAAAAAAACAGTAAAAACGGTGGGAAACGCTGGCAGCGAAGGCCGTTAGTGATCAGGAAACGGCTGGCAGTGAATGAGTTAAAAGCCTTTTCTGTTATTGTCTTGTTCTTGCAGTTGTGATGGAACAAGAAGAAAGGTATTTTCAGACAGCTCTGCAAGTTAAGGGGAATCTGGTCGATGGTATTGGTTGGCCACTACAGCTTTTAAAATCCTAATGTAATAATTTATAATGTTTTAATCATTTGTTTTGTTAAATGTATTTTGTATTTTGAAAATGGACCCCAGGAAGATTTGCAACCACTGCTGTGGAAGTTATGGGGATCCAAACAGCACAATAAACAATAAACAACCTGTAGGAGTGATGTCCTGATGCAGGATATCAGGAGGAAACGTGAAACAAATTTTGATTTTACTTACCTTTTAAACATTTGGGATTTCTTTTCAAGCCATCTTTTATAAATCATAAACATTTCATTTTAAATTAAATCCCCAGAAAATATTCCATAAGAGTAGAAAAGAAGGCTTAAAGGTTAAAATCAGCAATAAAACATAAATTTAGAAACTAAACTATAAATCTGACCTTAATGAATGCTCCAAACTCTTAACAACAGTTTATTTGAGCTCACACACCTGCACAGTGCTGGGCAGGTGAAAGTCCTCCTGCTGCTGCAGCTCTACATGCAGCTGGTGTTTCCCCTGCAGGCTCTCGTTGTCTCTCTGTAGTCTGCTGAGCTCATCCGCCACCTGCTCCCTCGACTTCACCAGCACCGCCTAGAACAAACAATCAGTCACTTTGACCCACTCTGAAACAAACCCACAGCTTAAGGGTGATGATATTCTAAAAGGTGGAGACTTGATTGACTGACATGGGAAACAAATATCCGTCACAAACATCTTGTGTTTCTGGCGGAGAGGGTGTCATGAAGATCATAACACCCGAGAAACAAGCTGTCACTTATCTCAGCTGCAAACGAGAAATGGTCCTGGGGGGGTTTCAGAGCATGAATCGCTGTTTTCATGCTCAGATCTTGTTCTGCATTCTCTTCTAACGCTCAAAAAGTAATTTCTTGCTCTCAGATTGACTCTTCTGCTCTTAAATTCATCCAGAAGTTCCTCTCTGGGGTTTGAGCCATTTTCCTCTGTGCTCCTAAAACCTGCTCTCATGAATGTTTTCCTGTGCTCTTGGACTGAAGTGATGTGATCCTGCCAAAAGTTGCCCAGCCAGTAGGAAGCCACACATGATGCTGATCAATGACCTCATCACAGTCCTACCTTAACTGAGGAATGGACTCAGAAATGAAAATAAGCAGCATTAGCGGTGCTTTAAAAGCAAAACCCCACTCCAACTCAGTCAGCCACAGGATTTTGGTGGTCTTGGTGAGTGCCGCTTCTTACTTTACACATCTGCTCTCATCCCCTAATGGATTAAAATGTCAGAATAAAATTTATTTAAAGAGCAAGTCACCTCCAAATCAACTGTTTTTTTTTCTGATAAACTATATAAATGCGTGTCTAATCGTGCTGCAGACATGTGTGGTCAATAGTTTTCACTATTGGCTAAGAGGTACCCTAGAATGTTAGCTGGTACCATATGATGTCACAATGTCATTGTGAGCCTGTGTGTGTGTGTGTGTGTGTGTGTGTGTGTGTGTGTGTGTGTGTGTGTGTGTGTGTGTGTGTGTGTGTGTGTGTGTGTGTGTGTGTATTTGTTAGTGGCTCTGCCCTCTCGGTCTGCTAGGCCAGTGGTTCCCAACCTTTTTCCCAAGGGACCCCTTTTTTTACCAGTAAAATTTTTGACGACCCCCTCCCATTCTCTCTTCCAGTACAAACAGTATTAAGAAATGATAAAATTGTTCAAGCACATTTTAATATGCTTTGATTCAATAGATAACAGTAATAGTAGGCTCCAGTACAGAACCAAGTCATTAACAAAACCAAACAGAGCATAATGTGCTTGACAGTTTGTATTACTTTTCTGAACACATTGTTTCTTGTAAACACTGATAAATCAATCATTCCTTTCATTAAACATTTGACACATAAAAAATACACTGAGCAAAATGTACTTAAATGTGTATATTACTGTTTATACTAGATTATTTACTGTAAAGCAGGGGTGGGCAATTATTTTTTCCATGGGGCCACATGAGAAATAGAAAATATTGTGGAGGGTCAGGCCAAAAGGCTGAAGTCAATTATGCATAATATTAATGGTATTTCTTTATAAAAAGCAGTAAATACCATTGTTTCTTCAAGCTGGTAAGAGTAGACTATATGTTATAAATGAGCAAAAAGGAAAAAGTGAGGTTGTCTTACAAAAATGTGATTTATTCAAATTTCCCAAGGCAATGGTAAACAAAGTGTGCACATTTGGTTTTTGTTAAACATTTGTGACTTATATTAGTTAACAGTTTCAGTTACATTCACTCCAAAACACATTCTGAGTTTCAAATATTGTTGGAAAGAGGTTCTTAGCATTCTACAGACACACAGTATTGTCTGTAAAATAAAATCACTGAACTGTGATCTTGAGAAAGAGGTTTAAAAAAAGTGTCCCAGTTCACTGCTAGTTGCCTACATTTGTGGTCCAAACACCTTATTTTGTGTTTTTAAGCGATTTTTTTCTTATTCAGTGAGAGAAATCTAGTCTCTGCTGGGCTTTAACGAGTGCATCAAAGTCAGGTTGAATGTCTGAGGTGGAGAAGCGAAGCACAGCTGACAAATGATCATCAGTGAGAGAGGATCTATACCTGGATTTTGTAAACTTCATCATTGAAAATGTTTGTTCACAAATGTAGGTAGAGCTGAAGAGAACCAACATCTTCTGAGCATGTCTCTTCAGGTTTGGAAAGTCCTCCTTAAGAGAAGAGTAGAAATCCAGCAGAGATCCTGAATCTCTGCTTTCAAGTCCCAAACCCTCTTCAGCACTTTCCCCAGGCTGAGCCAGCTGACAGCTGTGTGGAGTCCTCCAAAAGAGCCACAAACTGTCTGTGATCCATTGCCCGCGCCCTGATGAAGTTTATTATTTTAGTAACAACATCAGTAACATGGTTGATTTTTAGCACTGACTTGCACAACACATGTTGGTGTATAATTCAATGCAAAAACACCTATTTTTGATCTGCATCGATTTCTGTCACTTTATCTTGCATGCGTTTCAAAAGTCCGACATTTTTCCATGTAAAGCCGGGCGTACACTGTGCAACTTTTTCACTCGCAGCACTCAGCTTCAGCTCAAACTGTACGACTTCCTCGCAGAGCAGATCTCACGAGTCATGTGCTCACACTGTACGACCCAGTTCTCGTATGCGACCTGACTGCTCACACTGTACGTCTGGTAGCAACACGTCGGCCCTAAAAATGTGCTAAAAATAGCCGTTTTTACTCAACACGTCAGAGTTTTTTGTCTTGTCTTGCCTGTTGTCCTTCGGGAGTGCTGCAGGAGGACACACAGGGATTTATAGGGGTTGGATGAGGAAAACGAAATAAAGAAAGTAAATCTGTGTTTTGTGATCAGTTTAATTTGACATGAACACGACAAACACGCTTTCTTGACAATCTTTGTGAGTAAAAAAAACGTGTAGAAACAAAAACGAACAGCGTGTGTTATTAGGGAAATAGCGAGCGACCGGCGTTGATGCAGGATTGCGCGCGCATGCGCCGTGAGCGGTTCTGATACTTTTTGGGTCGCAGCTGCTCGCAGCGCCGCTTCAACAGTGCGATACCCTCACGAGGGACGAGCGAAATATTAAACACACCAGAGTGCGACCTCACGACTGCTGATCGGCGGCTGGTCACGTGGTGTTAATCGCCTCTCGTAACCCCCTGTACACTACACGACCGCTCGGTGCAAAACTCGCCCCGATGTCGTGGCTTCTCGCACGACTGGAAAATCGGCTCAAAAAAGTGAAAAAGTCGCACAGTGTACGCCCGGCTTAAGATTTGGACAACCGTCTGTTGTGACACCTGACAGTCTCTCCCATTTCAATCCCAGAGTGTCCGTGCACGCATTTACCTCTGTAGAAACATCACTCCCTGTCGTTGTCCCTTTCATCGACCGCATTGCTGCCCGCTCCTCTGTGAGCTTGAAGTCCGTTATCCCCGGACAAATACGAGCAGCTGGGCTGTGTCCCGGACATCACAGCTCCCGTCTAATGAGAAAAAGTCAAAACTTGCCACTTCACGTTGCAGCTGAAGCTCCAGGTTCCCCGCAATGTCCTCGATCCTCCTGGTCACGGTTCGCCTGGACAGCGGGATTTGCTCAAATGCGCCTTTTTTTTCAGGGCATATTAGTGCGGCAGAGTCCACCATGCACTCTTTGACAAACTCTCCCTCCGAAAACGGCTTGCTGTTTTTAGCTATTTTGTGGGATATCACAAAGCTGGTCCTGGTTGCTGCATCCCTGGATGTGTGAAGCTTAGTAAAACAGCCTTGCTGCTTTTGCAACTTTGCAAGCAAAGCTTCGGATGTCCGTGCCCTCTCAGCTCTCAGCATCAGACAAGTTCTTGTATTTTTCCGAGTGTTTCTTGTCGTAATGCCGACTCAAATTGTAGTCCTTAAACACGGCAATCTCCTCCCCGCAAACCAAACACACGGCTTTACCTCCGACTTCAGTAAAAAAAATACTTAGCAGTCCAATTTTTGTTGAAAATCCTGCATTCGGCATCTTTCTTTTTTTTTTTTTTTTGCATGAGCGGACATTTCTCAGGCTACAATCACCATGTCAACCGCGGGCACTTGTTGCTATACGTTTTGCGTCATTGTGCACGTAAAAAACAACTTCAAAATAAAAGCAATGCAGCCTTAGCCCATGCATGAGGTAAAATGAGAAAATACATTTATTTTGTAATTTCCAATTAACCTTACGCGGGCCGGTCAAAGTCAACCAAAGGGCCGGATGTGGCCCGCGGGCCGTAAAATGCCCAGGTCTGCTGTAAAGGCTGTGATTAACCAACCAGTCCTATCTTTAATGAACTTTTGACACTTGAAAATAACACAGTGAGCTGAGCAAAATGTTCTTAAAAGTGTGTTACTTTTTCTGTACTAATTATTTCCTGTCTTAATATCAGTAAACTTCTTACTCATGAAAAAAAGTGAGCAAAATGCAGGCTATAAACATGTAATAAGTGAAGTTTTAACCCCTTAAAGTGGAGAGGTCCGGGCGACCCACTGAGAGGCTTTGACGCCCCCTTGTGGGGGTTGGGACCCCCAGGTTAGGAACCACTGTGCTAGGCAACAGCATTTGTTGCATTTTTCAAACATGAAGCGGGAGTGGAGTAATACTCTGGTAGGGGGTGAGTTGCTCTTTAATGCTACCAATCAATCAATCAATCAATCAATTTTATTTGTAGAGCACCTTCCACAACTTTATCAGAAGCCCAAGGTGCTGAACAGCATCATCATAAAAACATTCCCAGTACCTGGGGATAAAAGCAAGATAAAAACATAAAATCATAAAATAACAAGCAAGCAATATTACAAATACAGAGAGATAACAGAATAAGACTAATCTATTAAAAACAAATGGTGGACAAAATAAGATCAAGCATCCTGGTCAAAAAGAAGAAGTATGAAAACCATAATGTCAGGGCAATTCAAAGAACCCTAGCGCTGAAAAGCAATCAAATAAAAATGAGTCTTTAGACAAGACTTAAAGACTGGAAGGGACGGCACCTGCCTAATGCTCAATGGCAATTCATTCCACAGAGTTGGAGCCAGAACAGAAAAAAACACGATAACCCTTTGATCGATATTTCGACCGGGGGACCACCAGAAGTTCCTGCTCGGCTGAGCGAAGAGACCGAGATGGAGCATACTTGTGCAAAAGTGCAGTAATGTAAGAGGGGGCACTGCCCTGGAGGGCCTTATAAACGAGAGTTAAGATTTTAAATTTAGCTCGATATTGCACCGGGAGCCAGTGCAGAGCATCCAGCACTGGGGTAATGTGCTCTCGACATCTAGTACCTGTCAGGAACCTAGCCACTGAGTTCTGCACAAACTGGAGCCATGCAACCGTGCACTGGCCCAGACAGGCATACAGAGCATTAGAGTAGTCCAGATGGGACAGGACGAAAGCATGCAACACAGACTCCAGATGAGCTCTGGACAGCCGAGGCCTGATCCTGGATAGTCGTTTCAGATTAAAAAAACAGGACCTCACCACTGTATTTACGTGAGTGTCAAGATTAAGTGAGGAGTCAATTTTTATCCCCAAATTACTATTTTCTTTTCATAGAGGGTCAATGGGCCAAGGTCAATATCAGCACCTGAGCCATTTCTTCTGCCAGGACTAAGTATTATGACTTCCGCTTTGCTCTCATTTAGGTGCAAAAAATTAGAAGCCATCCAACATTTTATGTCCTTCAAACAGTCCAGTAAAGGAGAAACAGATCTATCCTCCCCACGTCGAAGAGGGAGATAGATCTGGCAGTCATCAGCAAAAAAATGAAATTTCACATTATGCTGACGAAGGAGGACTCCAAGAGGAAGCAAATACACTGCAAATAGGAGAGGACCAAGGACAGAGCCCTGTGGCACACCCCAACGAAGTCTCATGCAGGGTGACGTCACCTCACCCATCTGAACACTAAATGTCCTGTCTTGAAGGTAGGAGCGAAGCCATTGGAGGGCCTGCCCAGTTATCCCCACCCAATGCTGTAGTCGGTCCAGAAGGACTTCGTGGTCGACTGTATCAAAAGCTGCAGATAAGTCCAGCAATAGTAGGACAACATCGTTATCCATGTCACAGGCTAAAAAGGTCTCATTAAAAACCATTAAAAGAGCAGATTCAGTGCCGTGACCTGCCCTGAACCCTGACTGAAAGGTCTCCCATAAGTCATTTGTGTCCATGAAGGCAACCAATTGTGAATACACGACCTTCTCCAGCAGTTTGGAAAGAAAAGGGAGTTTTGAGATGGGCCTGTAATTAGCTAAGGTTGTCACATCCAGCCCCAGCTTTTTTAAGATAGGATGAATAACAGCTTTCTAAAACGAGGACGGAACCATACGGGACGTAAGACTGCCATTTATGATTGCCAAAAGTAAAGGGCCTATCACTGGAAAGAGTTCTTTAAAAATTCTAGGGGACAGCACATCACAAGAGCCAGATGGTTTAAGCAGAGCGACCAGTTTTTCCAAGTCCGATAAGGATACAGTCTCTTTAATGATACTAATGTCCATGGACGCCTTTTGGCACTGATCGGTGACATCACTCTCTGCCTTAGCAGTTGTGAAATCCAGACATCCTAGCAAAGTTCTGAAAGGGATGATTTTGTATGGAGACACAATGGCTAAGACCGAGGCATAGTATTTTTCCAGTCACCCCCCGAAAATTTCCTAGAATTCCCATAGTGGAAACACAACTATCTATCCATGCAAATAGGAGTCATTAATGAGGTGATTTCATGTTTAGGTGTCCCTAAACAGTCATGTTGGCTTTTTTGGGATGTCATCACTGATGACACAAACAACAATTTGAATAGAGGGTGGGGCCAAAGATTTATGTGACATTATTGACCTCATCAGTATAACAATGGCCTCATTAGTGACCTTTATGGCCCCATCAGCATCTCTCAAACTCTCAAGACCGTATTTGGTTCGTCTTTGAAAACAAGTGTTTTGAGAGAGCAGAACAAGATCTGAGCATGAATACATCATTTAACAGGGTTTTTCCTGCATTCAAATTTGCGTGGCAGCCGCCTCCAGCTAATTTTGTGCCGCCCCAGCCTGATTTCACTCTGTCCACAGCTATATGGACGTTATTGTAACTGCATTTGCAGAGTTGCACCACTATAGGGGTGCTGTATCAGCAGCAGTGCACCGAAAAGCACTAAAACTGCTGCAGAAAAAGATTAAAAATAGCTTTTCTCGCTAGTTGGTACATATCTATGGTTGGTGCTATTGACGTCCTGATTTTCCCCCAGGCTCTTCCATATCAGAGCAGGGCTGTACAGTGCGACAAAAACAACTATCTGTGCGTGTCTGTCTATTTTTAAACGTAGCACTGGTGCAACATCTTTGAATTTCAGTTTTCCCCAAAACTTTATTGAACAAAAGTAAGTTACGTGTAAGAAAAATGCTTTTTAACTGGCGCACAGTGTGGTCATCTGGATGCAGTGGAGGACAATAAAGGAACCAGCAAAGGCAGAACTGGTGCAAAGTCTGGGATCAAAAGTGCAGCTACACTCAGATTGGCTAATGCTAAAGCTAATGGGTAGCAGTCTCACGATCAAGTGGCTCACAGAAAAATATACGATGATGATGGTAAAACTAAGAAAGACTAAACTCTACAAGCGGATGAAAATTCCCCACCATCCTGTTTATTCTGCATCCTGCAGAGCTACGGATCAGAACCGCTGCAGATACGAGTCACATTCGCAGGAAGTACGGCAAGCAGTTGTAGTATATAAATCACAAACGCTTCTATCTTTGAACATAATTTAAACTGAATTATTGCCAACCCGTACATAATAGACATGCCACCATTACACTGTTAGCAGCAGAAATTAAATGTTATTACCATTTCCAATACAAATGCATGTTAATGAAATGCATTATATTTTACTGGATATATTTATGTGTCATTTAGACTAAGATGAGTGTTATTAATACAAACCTAAAATGTTACTGAAATGTAGGTCAAATATCTAAAAATAGTTTAACTATAAATATCAGATGGGAAAAAGGAACTAAACACCAATCTCATGCATAATATTGAGCCTTTCATAATAAGAGTCTGTTATTTCAGCCTGATAACTTTGTTCTTTTATTTCATATTTTTTAGCAGCAAACCTGCTTTGTTTCACTTGAAACGTTGTCAAATGGATTATTCTATTAATCAACAGAAGCTTAGATTAGAACACTTAACGATAACATATTTGGCCTTTAAAAAAGTGAGGCAGTTGAAAGCACAGAGTATGCATGTGCTGGCACATGGTCAGGATGGTACCACCTCTGCCTCAATTTGAGCCAGGAAAACCCCTGTTTAATGCTCGAAAATCTGTAAAATAAGAAACAGTTTCCAAATCTGACATTTTTTGTGAAGCAACATCGCTAGCAGCTCACCATCTGTTCCTGTGTGTTCCTTTTGGCCTCGCTGAAGGTCTGCTGTAATGTGCCGAGCAGCGTTTCTGACTCCTGGACTCTCTGCATGAGGGCTGACACCTTTAACACCAAAAACAGAAAATGATTGTATTCAGATGAGATATTTGTGAGCTTGTTGTTGCAAGGCAGTCAGTCGTCTGCAGATCACGAGCACAAACATCACACTACAGACATTGGTTTAGAAACATGTTTAAAACAAAAGCCGCTCTAGAGAAAGGCCCAAAAGAAAAATGTTTTCACAATTTTCTCGCCGTCCAGTGAAAAACAGCTTCGACAAGCTGCACCCTGCTGCACTGCAGAACCCTTTACAGCTTCTTATCTCACTCACGTCCTCGTTCCTGTCAACGAGACAACGTCAGCACAAACCTGGCTGTAGTTTTATGACTTGGACAAGACGTACGTCTGCAGCAGAGCGTCCTAACTGAACAGCAAGAGGCCTGAGGTGCACTCAGAGGCACACCGGACCCAGGCTGGATCAGACAAAGCCGTTATCACAAACCGTCTCGTGGAGACGGGTGGATTTTAGGCTGTTGTTCGATCCCTACATGCTGCTATTCTTTTAGATTAAAGAAGTTACTAAAGCATTTAAAATTGGGGAAAATCACCTTTAATAATTTTAGTTTTTCTCAAATGCTAAAACACATTTCACAAACGTTTCCTCCATGTTCCCCAATGTCTAAACACAACACAACCACACCACACCAAAAGAGCAGCTCAAAGCTTTCAAAAATGTAAACACTATACACATCATTACACACTACAGCAAAGCAACTGAAAACACAATGCTCAATTTATGAGAAGGTTCTTTGTTTCATAACTGCCTATTTGCCCATTTTTAGAAACTTTACAGTTACGGATCTTCTTAGATCTCTGCAGAGGATAGGCATTTAGATTTGTGAGTTTCATATGAAGAGTATAAATCTATAGAAAATTCTGCATGTACACTACTGTAACACAACTCAATGCAAAAACAGAATCTATTGCACACAACAGTACTCTTGAAAACATGAGCAGGGTGTGAAATTTTTTTATTTACTTTATTCACAACACACACAGACACACACCACAAGCACTGTGCGGCATCATGTTGCTGAGCTGCATCGGGCCACATCACCTCATCCACATCGCAGGCTATATTGTCTCTTGCCAGGCACCGCGGGAAAAACGCCCTGGAAATGCGAATCCATCCTTGTAAGGCATCCACTGGGATGTCACCACAGGACAGCTCCATTGCCCTTAGGAGATTCTCTCTAGTGTATGGTTGTCTGTCATAAACCTTCCATCTCCACGATGAGGAAAAACTCCTCTATAGGGTTCAGGAAAGGGGAGTAGGGTGGCAGACAGACGTTTAAAAAGTGGTTACTGTTGGTGGTGAACCACTCTCTGATTTGGTTTGTTCTGTGGAAGCGGACATTGTCCCAAATGATCAGATAAATGTGATGTGCGGGCCCAGGATGGTGTTGTTGGCAGTCCAGGAGGATGTCTTTTAGCTCCTCTAGGAAGGTGAGGAGATGTTGGATGTTGTAAGACCCAAGGACAGCATGTTGGTGGACAAGCCCCTCCGAACCCATGGCCGCACAAAGAGCAATATTACCCCCCCCCTGTTGGCCAGGAACCTCAGTGATGGCTCTTTGGCCAATGATGTTACGGCCTCTTTGCCTTCGTTTCTGCAGGTTGAAGCCAGCCTCATCCAGGAAGAGGTACTCATGAGGTCTGGCCATCGCATCCAACTGTAATATCCTCTGTGAAATGTTCAGAACAACAGTCAATCAGGTAGCACAGTATTGTCCAAAACTAATGTAGGCCACTGAGCAACACAGTATATCCACTAACTGTACTGTGAACATGGATGTATACTTACTTGCACATACTCGTAACATAGGTCTTTGTGTTGCGCAGAGTTGCGCTCAAAGGGAACCCTACAGACCTGTTTCATCTGCATCTTTTGGCGCCAGAGAACTCGTTCTATTGTGGCCAAGCTGACATCATCAATGCTCTCAAAGTTGACATTATTGGCAATGACTTTGTCTCTGATCTCCCAGAGTCTGATGAGGTGGTTCTCACGAACCATATCCACAATGATGGTTTCTTGTGCCGCTGTAAATATGGCAACCCTTCCACCTCTATGTGGCATTCTTTCAACTCTAAAGAAAGAAACATGTGTTGTCAATTGACATGTTTTACAATAACAACTGATTTGAAACCAATATACTACTTTCACAGGCTTGTAAAACTGTATTGTGACAAAGAAAGTAATAGAGTACAATACCTGTTGTGTTGTCTGAATGCCCTGATAATGGTGGCCACGGTGAACCTACTCAGGTTTGGACGGACTCTTAGTACTCTTCAGCCATTGTCATGCCATGGTCAATGACTGTTGCTCGCATCTCTTCCGTAATGATGGTGCAAGGTTGTCTTGCTCTCCCTCCTGGACCTTCTCCTCTCTTCTCCTCTCCCTTGTTGGCCTCCTCCTCTTCCTCCTCTGATTTGAACTCCTCTTCCTCGTTGGCCTGCTCCTCTTCTTCCATGGCCAGCTCTTCTCCCTCCTCTGACTCGAATTCCTCTTCCCCTGACTCTGCCTTCATCCATTGTGTTTGTTTGGAAACTTCAGCAAACTGTGCACTCTGAAATTGCTTTTATACATGTGGTCACAGCATTAGCAACAAGTGTCTTCAATTTTGAGTCGTTGTGTGTAATGAATGACGACAGGTGTGTTCACTGTGTTCAATTAGTGCTGACTGTGGCAAGCATTTGGCATCACATGAGCTTTCATTTGAGAATATGAGCAGAGTTCTTTTGCAACTTGTGTTTTAGCAAGGAAAAATGTGTTTAGATTTATGAGAACGGAGGATTGTGTTTTGAGAATTGTGTCTTCATGTGAAATGCGTTTATGATGTTGGAAAATGATGGCTAGATCTAGTAAATGTGTTTAGACAACTGGTCATTTGGTTTCGAGGATTGGCTTTTGTGTTTTGGCATTTGAGAAAAATTGTAAACACAATTAGAAGAGAGTCATTTATTATTTACATCTTCTGATGCGCTGTGATTATCTAATCTGCCTTTATTGGTGCTAATTTTAAAAAAAAGTCACTCTCTCATCAGAGTGCAACATCCTGCTGGAGTGAGTCAGATTCAGTGAACACTCATGCAGGGCAGAGACCAGCCTCCACACCCAGGTTTATTTACAACTAGTCGATGTTTATAAAAGCAACAACGTTGCTGGTCGAGACGATGAAAAGCAGAATTGTGACTAAAATAATCACCTTTACATTTTAAACGCCGCATTAGGATGCTGCATCGTAGCATCGACAAAAGACGAGTAAACAAAAAAACACGACGCTTTAGCCACACGCTTACACTACTGACCAGCTAGGAAATGCAAGTCATGTTGCTGTTGCCACGGTAACCTGCAGACTGCTGTGCAGATGTGAGATGACAGATGGTGATGGACTATCAATGGACTTGTTAAACCGTGGCATATTGTTTTATGTTTGTTTCTCTAAACAAGCCGACAGGCTGCAGAGCTAAAACACCCCAGCAGCTAGTCTGGTCATTATTTAACCATCTTGGTCAAAGTTTGTCAGCACTTATTTCGTGCAACCAGCAGATGTAATGTGCAAAGAAATCTGCTCATCATTGAAACTGGAAACAGCAGAAGTGAAACAAACGTGTGTGTAGACGTAGAAATCCCCTAAGAAGGAAACTCTTCATATAAAACCAAACTATATTTGGTTTCAGAAGGTAAGAACTTAGGGCATTCTTCTGAATGAATGAAAAAGATGGAACACGTTCCGTTTAAGTGTGCAGATGTGATGCATAGATTTTTTATATGTGACAAAATGTAGTAGTAAAAAAAGTGCAAATGCATCAATAAATGTTGAAGGAATTGAGATAGAAAGAGTAAAAGAAGTTAAGTTCTTAGGTGTTATTATTGACGAACACTTATCGTGGAAGTCTTAAGCCGGGCGTACACTGTGGGACTTTTTCACTTTTTTGAGCCGATTTTCCAGTCGTGGAGAATCCACGAGATCGGGGCGAGTTTTGCGCCGAGCGGTCGTGTAGTGTACAGGGGGTTACGAGAGGCGATTAACACCACGTGACCAGCTGCCGATAAGCAGTCGTGAGGTCGCACAAACTTCTGGCGTGTTTAATATTTCGCTCGTCCCTCGTGAGGGTATCGCACTGTTGAAGCGGCGCAGCGAGCGGCTGCGACCCAAAATGTATCAGAACCGCTCACGGCGCATGCGCAATCCTGCATCAACGCCGCTCGCTATTTCCCTAATAACACACGCTGTTCGTTTTTGTTTCTACACGTTTTTTTACTCACAAAGATTGTCAAGAAAGCGTGTTTGTCGTGTTCATGCCAAATTAAACTGATCACAAAACACAGATTTACTTTATTTCGTTTTCTTCATCCAACCCCCATAAATCCCTGTGTGTCCTCCTGCAGCACTCCCGAAGGACAACAGGCAAAACAAGACAAAAAAGTCTGACGTGTTGTGTAAAAACTGCTATTTTTAGCATATTTTTAGGTCCGATGTGTTGCTACCAGACGTACAGTGTGAGCACATGACTCGTGAGATCTGCCTGCGCTGAAGTCGTACAGTTTGAGCTGAAGCTGAGTATTACAAGTGAAAAAGTCGCACTGTGTCCGCCCAGCTTATTATAATGTTCACTGTAATGCATCTTGATGTTCTTAACAAATAAATTAAATCAAAAATATTGGTCAATAATGCCAAATATGTAAATTTGTGTTTCAGTCATTTTTATACTGGCTTAAAAATACTTCATTAAGTCTACTAAGCAGGGGTGTAGAAGGTGTTTAATAGGGCCAGCCCAGTAATGATCTTGGACCAAAATAAAGGGGGCAAAAGGAGATGTTTTTCCAGACGCCAAGAAAAAGTAAATGCCAAATCCACCCTGCAAAGTGTGTCACTGAGAGTTTAAAACAGAAATTATTCTTGTGCAAAAATTGGTGTATTCACCTTTAATACTAGTTATTAAAATGCAGCAGATGCTGGATTGGTGCAGTTCAAAGTGGAGTGCATCAAATAAAAAAATATTAACATAAAGGTGAGACGTGTCATAATCCCTCCCTCCCACACACACACACCACCACCACCACAGCTGGAAAAATTCCTAGGGGAAACACTGCGGTAGCCACCGGGATTCCCTGTCTTGAGCGCAACGAATCACAACACAGATTCAGAGACGTGCTGAGTTTGTCATCCAAAATGCTCCATTTTATAACTTTTGAATGGCTGATCAGATTCAAATAATTCCAACGGTTCCTAAAAGTAGATAAAATCAGCTTTCCAACGATCCAAAGCATGAAGCAATCAGAGTTATGGAAAATATTGTTACGAGGGGAAACCCTGCTACAGCCTGATTGAAACGGAGCGCAGCGGCGTGGTGAAAGCGGATAACGGAACGGGGAAGCTAATTAGCATAAAAAGCCGGCATGAAATTATGGAAATGCCTCAAAAAAAATCAACACAATCTATTAGGTGTCACAGAAGGCTTATATCTGAAGACAGTGACCACGAAGAAGGACAGATCTCCGGTGAACCAGGGTATGAATGATTGTTCCGTCTTTATATTTTATTTTTTTATTTGAACAACCCTCAACTATTTGCTAATTGTAAGATTCGGCTTCATTCCAGCATTATTTATCTTTTTACCATAAATAATTATTTTAGCTAAAACAAAAGTTTTTGGTATAGCAGTGCACGGTGTGCAAGAGAAGCACCCCATAGCAGTGTGAGGTGTGCAGGACTCTGCCTGCAGCTGGAGAGAGACTGCTTCAAGGTCTACCAAATCAAATAAAAACATCTGAAAGTTTACAAAAATAAATGTTCTTAAAAACAGCTAAAAAGATACCAAGGTTCAAACTTTTTATTACAGTTCAAAGTTTAAAATGTTCATTCCAAATTGTTTGCCCAGTAATTTTGAAGTTCCTGTTCATTAATAAATGTAAAAAATTCAAATCCGTTTTTTGCTTTTTTCACTTTTAAGCTAATTTTTTTAAAGGCTTTAATAGAAATAAATTCTAAATACAAACCATACACTGAAAGCTGAGGTTGTTCTGAAAAAGGGAGAAGAGTTACACACACTTTGCACTTTTTATTACAATTTTACAGCCATAATATAAAAAAAAATACCAGGTGGCCCTGTTATAATTATGGTCATAAGAGGTTATTAAGACGCCGATGCACAAACAGGAAGTGATTGGTAGTCATTCCACTTCAATCCAGTAGGTGGCGGTACAGGATCTGCTCGGGTGCAGGATCAGCTCGGGGTCCTTCGACTGTCGATGACGTCAAAGTAGTTGATTGGCTGAACGTGAAGCTTACGGAAGTGATGTTATCACGTTATGATTTTGATTGGTCAGAACAAATTTGCGATCGTAGTCTTAGCGTTTGTAGTCCTGTAGTCCAAAAATCAACACTTTTTGGAGAAAATATGTTAGAATTTCTAAAGGAAATGTAAAATATAAGCAAATGATAAACGGTGACCCTCAAAAGCTCTTGATGTTGATGAAATGGGGCAAAATAAAATGTAAGAACTTTATTGAAAGACACCAAGCAATATTTTGAGTCAAAGAATGTATTTAGATAACAACTAAGGAAATATACAGACGAACTCCACATTAATACAAACAGATATGGCTTCACATATAAGTACTGTTCTATTTTGTGTCAGTCCGATGTCGGTTTTATGCAGTTTCACATTCTTTACCAAACAAAGATAATATGGTGTTTACTTAACAAATTACAATTATAAAGAAAACATTTAGGTGTTAACAAATAAGAATTTATTAACAAAACTGCTGATGTCTTTCCAAAACTTATGTGTGAAAGCCCAGTAGATTTGCAGTAATATGACGTCATCGGCAGTCGAAGGACCCCGAGCCGATCCCGCACCCGAGCAGATCCTGTACCGACAGCCGTAATGCACCAAATTGTTGTTTGCCAAGTGCCATAAGACCACAAATAAGAAGAAGAGAGGCGGGAGCGTTCGTAACAAACTCAAAGCGATAGTCAAAACATGAAGCATGACATGGGAGTTATCCTAGTGGCTCCAATAAGAGAAAGAAGCAGCTTGCTTCAAAAAGCTTTTATTTTCACTTCTGAAAGTGACGTCGTTTTTTGATGTAAACATCAAAAGGAAGCAGAAAGGAAAGACAATGGAAAATGTTTAAAGGGAGGAAAACATAGACCAAAATGGAAAGTAGAAAAAAAAAACAAAGGCAAAAGCACAGGAGCACTGACAGGAACAAGAAAGCAGAGCACATATTGAAAAAGCTTAAAGGGAGGGAAATACAGGAAAAAAGAGGAGGACTAATAAAAATGGAAAATAACTCATGTCCGAAGAGGGGAGAGTTTCGCAAATCCAGTTAAAGGTAAGATTGTCAAAAATTTTGTGTAAGGGGCCCCATGTGTGTGTTCGCCTTGGGCCCCCAAATTGCTAAATCCGCCACTGGCCTCGGGAAACATCGGTTAAAGCTGAAACTGAAAGGAGATAAACCTGCTAAAGTTCTGGACAGAAAACTGACGTATCTGGAGGGGATTTTGATGATTTTACGAACTTTAAGCTCCAGCCGCAGCGAGATGTTGAAGCGACAGTAGTAGCGGCGCCGTGATACCGACTACTGCAGCGTGTTTTTCCCTAGCTGTCTCCGTGACTGTGATTGGTCAAATGGCAACTCGTGACCCACTAACAAAGATGGTTTGTGAAGAGGATGAACACTCCTCATTTTCCTGAAACTGATTCTTATAAAGAGCGACTGAAACCCGACCAAAGACTCACCTTCCCTGAAACAAAAACTCTTTGATTCACGTGAACGCATTTGGTTTCATAAACGGACATTTTCGCTGAAAAGCGTCAAGTTTGCAAGGATGGGACGAACGTATTTTAAAATCACGTCAATACGAACCAAATTTAAGACTTTACTAAATCGATTTAAGACTTTTTAAGACTTTTAAGGGTCTTAATTTTCCTTTCATTAAATTCAAGACTTTTAAGACTTTTTAAGACCCTGTGGATGTTTATCCTGAGCTCCAGTGAGCCTCGCAGTTTTCTAGAAAACAGTGTTTTACACAAACAGAATCTCCATGTTCTTGAAGTAATCCAGTAAGTAAACCTGCATATATATATATATATATACACACATATATATATATATACACACACACATATATATATATATATATATATATATATATATATGCGCGTGTGTGTGTTCATTAATAAAAGATCCAGACTGCAAAAGATGATCAACTATCCGACTCGGAGCACAAACCTTAGCAGCGGTTTCCTCATTTCCTAATTTCACAGATTCTTCCAGACTCTGCTTCTCCATCATCGTTCTCTCCAGCTGATCGTTAGCCTGACGGAGCATCACCTGCAGCTTCTTCACCTGGTCACAAACACTCACTTTCAGTCAAACTGCTCATCGCCTCACACCCAGGGAGTTCAAAAGCATCGGGCCCACCTGGTCTCGGGTGTCGGCCTCCTGTCCCTGAATGGCCTGCAGCTGCTTCTCGTAGTTGGAGCACATATCACAGCGTCGGCCGAGCTTCCTGCCGGCGTTTTTCACCTGATAACAAACCACAAAACAACTATTCAGAATTAATTCTCGCTAAATATTTAATTTATCTGCACCGCTGCTTATAAATGGGGTTCCTCAAAGCTCCAATCTGAGCCCAGCCCTGTTTTTTTATCTATATTTTAAAAGATAATTTTCTTTTAAATGATATATCAGCCTAAAAATTACGAAGATAGGTTACTGCCTTTAATCAGATGGTGTCAATGACATCCGCAAAGACTTTCAGGAAGTCTGGAGAACCACCGATCCTGAAGGTGTGATCCTTGGAAGAAATCATTTAAACTTCCTAAAATAAAATACAGTAAATGCATCGTCGTTTTGTATATTTAATTAAAACTGCACTTCACCTCTTGCTGCAGCAGGTTCCACTCGGTGTCGCTGACGAGCCGGTAGCCGGCAGGCGGGAGGTAAGCCATGTCTGGAGCGTGAGAGATGCTAGACAGCAGCGACGCCGTCTCCTCCTGCTCGGGCGTCATGGCTTTGATTGCCTTCTCCTGGTCTTTAGTCAGGAGGAAGTGACTTGCCGTCAGCTTGATGGAGCTGATGGATGAAGTCTCGCCAAAACTGCTGTCTGCAACGCCGCAGTCGGCCCCCACCAGGGGCCCAAAGTCCGACTCGTCCAAGTTGCTGGCAGACTTGGCCTTGTGGTTGTGACCGCCAAGCCCCTGCTGAGCAGACAGCGTGGACCCGAGGCTGTCCGTGGACTGGACTCTCCGCAGGTTGTCCTTGTACATGTCCACAGGCCCACCTGCCACCACCTCAGTGTCTAAGGAGTGCATCGAACCATGACCGCTGTGGTTGGCATTAGGCTGAAAGAGGGAAAATTTAACAAATGAATCATTTTTAACTGATGTTAAGATAAAAGGAAAAACATTTCCTGCAGTTCCAAAAAGAAAAGGAACTACCAGAAATCACTAGAACAGTAAAAGGGTAAAAAAAGAAGAGGGATTTTTATGACAGATGGAAAAAAAATGATCATCCTTCACTCAAAAACGTTGGTCCGAAACTGTTTTTATCACTTTAGAAATATCTCCAAACTGCGAAGGTTGGTGTCCAAACATGAACTTGAAATGGTTCTCCATGCCTTTATCTCCTCCCGTCTAGATTACTGTAACACACTCTTCACATGTTTTAACAAAAAAGCCTTGACCGCCTTCAGTTGGTCCAGAACTCTGCAGCGAGGCTCCTAACTGGAGCAAACAGAAGAGCTCACATCACTCCTATTCTGATGTCTCTGCACTGGTTACCCGTTAACTTTAGAGTTCATTTAGAATCCTCACTATAACTTTCAGGGCTCTACGTGGTCAAGCTCCTCCCTACATTACTGAACTGTTAAAGCCTTATACTCCAACCCGAGTCCTCAGGTCCGCACACCAGAACCTTCTAGAAGTTCCAAAGACCAGATATAAAAGTGGAGGTGATCGCTCCTTCCAGACTGTTGCACCCCGACTCTGGAGTGATCTTCCTTTATCCTTATGCAGCGTCGACAGTCTGGACACTTTTAAAAAACAGCTGAAGACCCTTTTATTCAAAGCTGCTTTTAACTAAACCTTTTATTTTCTTATTTTTAACTCAAATTTTTAATCTTTAATCTGTTGATGAAATTTTGTAATTGTACGACTTTATTTTCCTGACGTTAATCTATTTCTGTTTTGAGATCATTATGATTTTATGATGTTAATCTATTTATTATTTTATGACTTTGTTTTATTTTATTTTGATCTACGTGAAGCACTTTGTGATTCTATGTCAGTGATGAGTGCTTATAAATAACATTTACTTACTTCATCTGTGTTAAATCTTCACTTTGTGTATTTTTCTAAAACAGAAGCAGGTTTGGGTCAAACCCAGGCTCCTCGGCGACGTTTAACGCCCGGCTGAGTCTCGTATGAAGGTGAAGATCACGTTACTCTCGGGGGATGAACCGTGACGTAAAGCAAAGAGCAAGCCGATGCGTCTCAGAGGGAAGCGTCAGATTACAGAAACACAAACCTCCTCCACGCTCAGCCCGAGGAAGTCCTCCAGAGGCTCGGTGTTGTCTCCTCCGTCCTCCTCCTGCAGATCCTTCACCAGGTTCAGCAGCTCCTTCTCATCCTCCTCCTCAAATGAAGAAAAGGAAACGTTTTAATAGAATTTGTACGAAATCTCCCCAAATAAATGACTTTCTCAGATGAACGCTTAGCTGGTTTTTCATGAGATAATCTAGTTGAGTCTAATTTGATCCAATCAGCAGACGCAAACCCTGCTTTTACAACGATTAGTGAAATCAACATTTTTGATTTTAGCAACAAAAAACAAACATAAAGGTGTATCTAGTATCTGAACAAATGTAACAACAATCTTATTTTATCAACAGAACAGGAAACAGCACATTACCATGAGTGCTTCAGTGCACGAAAACGAATTAGTCTCATGATGAGTTAGAAAATGACCATGAATGCAGTAAAACTCCTATTTTCAGTATAAACAGCATCATAATAAAACATGACCATAACAAAAGATAAAGGCACTTTTACTTTATATAAACATGCACATTTATGTAACGTATCTACAGATTTATTGTTGATTTTCAGCTGAATAAATAGTTTATAGAAAGGTTTTGTGTGTCAAATGTGCTACTGGAGGTAAAAATAAATCATTTTCACATATTTTGATTAAAAATAGAATTTTTGTGGTATGAATAGTTCCAACGGGGTGATTTTAGTCCTAACTGACTCAAACGTTCCCACAGAGCTTCACACGGACGACCGTCCAGCGGAGCGTAGCCTCTGAATGTGAGCTGCCGGTATCGTACCTGGTCTTTCTTCTTCATCTCCTCCACCTGGCGGAGCTGCTCTGAGGACAACACGCTCTCTATCCTCTGCATGTCCCTCATCAGGAGGCGCTGGGACTCCAGGAACTGGTCGTTGGCTCGCTGCCACGTCTGCTTCAGCTGGTTGTGCTGCTGCCGCTCCAGCTCCAGTTTGTGGCAGACTGGAAACAACAGAAAGGAAAAATATGTGTTCACATTTCAGCGTTTTTTGCAGGTTTGCAAGTGATTCATTTAAAACTAGACATTATTACCAGATGTCTTACTCGCTAATCAGCTGTGAATATTTCATGTTCGTATTTATTTTTCTACTTAGAGCAAGTCACCCCCTACAAGAAACTAACTCAACTCCCACTTCCTGTTTGAAAAATGCAACAAATGCTGTGGCCTAGCAGACCGAGAGGGCGGAGCCACTAACAAATACACACACACAGGCTCACAACAGCATTGTAACATCATAATGTACCAGCTAACGACATTGTGTACCTCTCAGCCAGTAGCAATGGCAGATTTAAATTCAAATGCAGTTGCAGAGACGTTACCTGACGATGGTGCAACACCGACAGTTTTAGGTAGAATATTTAAATTTTAACTAAGAGGCACTAAAGTGCCAAATTATTGACTGCATATGTTTACAGCACGATTAGACACTCATTTATGTAGTTTATCAGTAAAATAAGTTCATTTGAGGGTGACTTGCTCTTTAAGAAGCGTGTACCATCGTGAAGCTCTTTCCGTAGTTTCTCAGCATCTTCCTGCAGCACGGTCTTCTGAGTGTTTAAAACAGCCACATACATCTCCAGATCTGTGCGACAGGACTTCTCAGCCTCCAGAACATGATTCAGCTCCTTCACCTGTCGAAGAAAACACAAGCTCTGTGTTATTCATTTGGACATTTTTGTTCCCCGATTCTCTGAAACAAAGCTTAAGCTTAAACAAAGCTGCCCTTGCTCCAAAAACACACATTCATGAGAAGAGTTCAAAAGTGAGGCAGGCATCTATCATCCCCACCAGTGTGTCAATGGGTGAATGTGCCACGTCCTTTATTCATCGTCACTCTGGAGCGACCGTACCTGGACAAAAAGGTCAAAAAGACAACCAACTGGGGTGCGTCTCCCTCACCTTTGAGGCCTCCAGCTCCTTCACCCTCTCCTCAGCGATGGCCAGCTTCGCCTTCAGGGCCGTAATCTCCCGCTCCATGGGCATCACCACCGAGCGCAGCTTCTCTGCATCCTCCTGAGCCTGAAGACATAACGACACAGTGAGACCCGTATAGAGCTGGCCCAGCGCTTCACGGCAAGGACAAAAACCGCATTGTTCCTGCTGAATCCGAGGTTTGACAATCCAACGGACCCTCCTCTCCGGAACTCCTGAGTGGATTTTTCCAGTTGGGGCTCAGGAGTGTTATCCCCTGTAGTTGGAACACATCCTGCGGTCCCCCATTTTAAATAGGGGGACCACCCCGGTCTGCCAATCCAGAAGAACTGCCTCAGATGTCCATGCGATATTGCAGAGCTGCGTCAACCAGCACCCGAGCCACGTATCGCTTGGACTGCCGGTACTTACCAGCTGCCTCTGGAGTCCCACAGGCCAAAAAGACCTGATAGGCCTCTTTCTTCAGCTTGAGAGCATCCTTAACCTCAGGTGTCGACCAGTGGGCTCGGAAGTTGCTGCGACGACAAACACGACCACTCTATGGCCATAGCTCTGGTCGGCCGCCTCAACAATGGATGCAAAAACGCGGCCCACTCGAACTCACTGTTCCCTGCCTCACCCGGCTGGGACGTGCTTAAAGATCTGTCGGAGGCGGGAATTGAAGCTCCTTCTGACAGGAGACTCTGCCCGACGTTCCCAGCAGACCCTCACAATACATTTAGGCCTGCCAGGTCCGACCGGCATCCTCCCCCACCAACTCACCATCGGGTAGCCGTAGCTGACAGCCCCGCCCCACATGGCCACACATCAGATGAGACTAAATCAAAGTTGAAGTGCAGCCTAAAGTACCCTGGTACCGAGAGCACATCATTTTGGGATAACTACGTCACAATTGTGAGGTACAAGGATTTTCAACAGTGGCAGAAATGGGCTTCTACAAATCTCATCTTCATCCTCCACAGTTCCATAAAACAACGTGGGTGACAGCGATGTGGGAGGAGGGCAACAATCAGCTCTGCATCTCTCTGCTCTTTATGAAAAATCTGAAGGATTTGAGGCAAATCTGGATTTTAATCAAAGCAGAGTTTTACTTAGGAACATAGATGGTTGCCTTTAACTTGGATAATTACTCTGGAAATAAATATAATACGTGTTAACAGCTGTTCACCTAAAACACCCTAGCATGAGGATTCTCCTCTGCTAAATTCAATACTGGTCAACGGGCTGTATGAGTCCAGCTGGCTCAGAGATGGAGGACACTATGATCTGTTCTCTGGTGTTCCGTCGGTTCTGAATTAGGAAGGGAAACTTGAGGTAAAACAGAAGAACTCCTGACCAGAACAGATGATCAGTCCTTCGGCTCAGGATGAAACCTTTTTATACGCAGAACAGGGAAACACTAAAAAAAATAGATGCTAACTTTCTTCATTTCATCCTCCAGGTTCTCCTCCTCCTGACCCTCTGAGAGACGCCGTCTCAGCTCGCCCATTTCTCTCTCCACTGCCTCTCTGTACTGGTTCCACTGGCCTCGCTCCTGCTCCAGGCGCTGGTGGAACTGGACTTCATATTCACACACCGTGTCTGTGAGGAAACAAAATGATAAATGATAAATGACCCGCACTTGTACAGCGCCTCTCAGAGTAAGGACTCCAAAGCACTTTACACTACAGTGCATCATTCACCCATTCACACACACATTCACACACTGATGGTGATGAGCTACGACGTAGCCACAGCTGCCACTGAAAGAGGCGCCACCGGTCCCTCCGACCACCACCAGCAGGCAACGTGGGTTAAGTGTCTTGCCCAAGGACACAACAGCAGAATTCTCTGTCGGAGCCGGGATCGAACCTGCAACCTTCCGATTACTGGACAACCCCGCTCTACCTGTTGAGCTCCTGCTGCCCTTGCCCCAAAAACACACATTCATGAGAAGAGTTCAAAAGTGAGGCAGGCATCTATCTTCCCCACCAGTGTGTGAATGGGTGAATGACTGATTATGTTGTGAAGCGCCTTGGGGGGCTGTAGAACCCTAAAAAAGGTTGGTTTATGCTTGACGCGTCTGCGAGGTCCGCACGGCTCTGCGCGGCGAAATTGCGTCATTTTAACAACCACGCCCCTCCACCGCGTCTCCGCACGGCCCAAAATTTCCGCAACGCGCACCTAGGAAATTTTCTAACCACGCGGACGGTCGGACGCGGAAAAACATGGCGGACCGGCAAGAACTAGTATGGCAGAGGTTGGTAAATACAGACATTTGTATGATTCAGCTCTCAGAGATCACCGTGATCAACATGTTGTTAATAATTCTTGGAGAGAAATAGCTCGCACTGTCGGAAAAGACGAGGAAGCTGTTAAAAAATGCTGAAATGCCATGTTGTAAACAGTAATTTCTACTTCTACTATGGTGTAGTGTTGGATGCATGCCGTAGAGCTCCATGCTGCCCCCTACAGTTTGGGAGAATATTGGCTCACCGCAGAGACAAGCCGCATGAACCATAAACGCTGCGAGTTGTGAAGCGCGTTCCATCCACGAGCCGCATCACCAAGCGGAAAGTGAATGCGTCAAGCATAAACCAAGCTTTAGAAGGCAAATACGGTCTATGACATCTCCTTTTTTCCTAAGATTTTTTTTATAACCAGTAAAATTTTATTTCTTGTGGTTTTTAACTAATTAACCCAAATTCTTTCAATTTTTAGTTAATTTTCAAAACCACAATTATAGCACATATAATAAAAAAAGTTTTATTTATTTTAGTGACATTTATTTATAGAATCCTGCTGTTTTTAGCTGTGTTTTTAAATGACACGTGTAAAAAGATCTGCAGGTGGTGAAACACTGGATTCCAAAAAATGAGTAACAACAGAGAAATGTGTTTGAAAATGAACATGTAAAATATAAGAACTGTAATTAAATATATAACTTATAAAATCCCAGTACAAGCAGCATTTTTGGCTCCACCAGTTCTCAGCTGCTTTCACCAGACTAAATGAACACTCTGGGCAACTTGCCCATCCAAACACGAAGAACTGTTTTGAGTGAAATCCTATTTTTCTCTATAATGTTGCAGCTAAAACAGGAAGAGATGATTGCTTACCTTTCATGATGGCCCGCAGAGAAGCAACTTCCTCCTGCCACTGGCTGCGCACCTGGTCGATGGCTTCCTGTTTAGTGTTTTCTGACACAGTCGCCACGGCTTTGATGGTCTCAATCTCGGCGCGAGTCTGAGCCATCTGGTCCTGAACGGAGCTCAGCTCGGCCTGCGCGCTCTCCAGAGCCGCCGTCTGCCTCTTCAGTTCCTCTGATGGGAGACGAGATGAACCGAAAACTTATTTTTATGGACTTTGAGTTTTTTTTTTTAAACATATCTCCAGTAAAACCAGAAAATTGCACATTTATGTGGATGATTTAACAGAATTTCTGGGAGTTTCATGATATTGCAACACCTACCTTCCTTGGACAGGTACAGCTCTTTGAACTTGGCTCGATTCTGGTTGAACTCGGCCTCTAGCTGCTGCTTGAGCTTGATGAACTCGGTCCTCTCCTGCTCCAGAGCTGCCACTCGCTGCTGGAGCACCTCTAAGATGATGAAGAAAAACAACAACAGGAAAAGAACAAAAAGAGCCGTGGTTAATCAGCTGATTGCATGCAATTAAAAATGTTACAACTCAGGAGCAACCCATAAAATATAAACAGTATTCTTAAAGAGCAAGTCACCCCCAAATCAACTTTTTTTTGCTGATAAACTATATAAATGAGTGTCTAATCGTGCTGCAGACACGTGTGGTCAATAATTTGGTACTTTAGTACATCTTTGTTAAAATTTAAATACTCTGCCTAAAACTGTCAGTGTCACGCCCTCTTCAGGTAAAAACTCTGTACTACATTTGAATTTAAATCTGCCCTTGATATTGGCTAAAAGGTACCCTATGACATCAGCTGGTACATTATGATGTCACAATGTCGCTGTGAGCCTGTGTGTATTTGTTAGCGGCACCGCCCTCTCGGTCTGTCTGGCAACACCTCCTTGTGGCGCATTTTTCAAACAGGAAATGAGAGTGGAGTTAGACTCTGGTAAGGGGTAACTTGCTCTTTAATGAAAGTATTCATTTAGGGTGACGCTGACTCAAAGACAGAATATCAATAAACAACAACCAAAATAAATTCATGACTCAGAAAACAAACATTAAACTTTTGATTTATTTTAAGAATTTTCCCACAAAATCGGATTTATTCCTGAATTATATTTAATATAGACATAAAAAATGTTATGTATGTATCAACCAATCAGTGAAACAAGCCTAGTAAATATAATTACTTAAAGACTTAAAAAATATTAATATCATCTTTATTATCAGTTCCTCTTCTAGTTCTGCAGCAGACTCTTTGTTTGTTGATCAAATGTGACAAACCCTGACCTTTAAATGCAGTTATTTAAAACCAGAACAGTGAGGAGAGGCAGTGGCTGTGATTCTCACAAGCAGATGGACGAACGGAAACATTTACGAGTGAGCCATAAGCAGCGGAAAGCTTCAGCACAACTCTGTCAATGTCATGTGATGTCTGAGCAAACTCCGCAGAACTCCATCCCTGGAAATTCACATGGATTCCTTTCGTGTTTGACTTTCAGCTCCTCAGAGCCGTTGTGCACGTTACTTTGACTTTGTGTGAACAGACATTAGCCTAGTGTTTGCTAAGATGTAAAAATAACCGAGTTATGACGGAACTCTTTTCATTTTTAACACTGATGAAATTCACAATCGCATCCCTCTCCAACTGCACAAAAGCATGCAATCATATAAGACAAAAAAGGATGAAAACGGACTAAAAATATTACTTCCAAATTTTGTGGTGACACAAATAATTAAGAAAATGCGTCCTAGTGTACAAAACATGGGCTGCATGGTGGCGCAGTTGTTAGCGCTGTTGCCTCGCAGCAAGAAGGTTGCAGGTTCGAAACTCGGCTGCGGCCTTTCTGCGTGGAGTTGCACGTTCTCCCCATGCATGCGTGGGTTTCCTCCGGGTACTCCGGTTTCCCCCACAGATGACAACACGCCCTACAGGTTATAAATTGTAAGTCGCTTTGGATAAACTGTCTGCCAAACAAATGAACATAAAACCAGATAATTAAGGCTTAAGATAAAATACATTTGTATTAAGAAGTAGTTTTTAGTACCATAGTTAAAACCATCCCTGCCAGAGTTGTGCTGCCTACATTCATTGCTGTGTCAATATTATAATATTTAATCGGGGCAGAACAAGTGCTTATTATAGGCAACCGCTGAAAGAGAAAAACAAACATGACAGATGATTCATTCAGCCACTGCACCAGGTGTGTTTGGGAATCTAACTGGATAAACTGAGATGATCCATTCAAATAAGTATTTATTTGCTAAAAATCAAAATCCATTCAAAGCTGTAGTGCACCTTCTCGAAAATGCCATAATCAGCTGATTTCAATGAGCTTTCATAAATATATATTTTTTAAATGTCACAAAAGATATGAATTCAGGGAAGGGATTTAGTGATTCCAGTTAGAAAATTGTGCCTGCCATCATGAAAAGTAACAAAAATACATGAAAATGAGCAGGGATGCATGAATGTTTACATATTATGATAGCCAGCTGATTCCTGAGATGCAATGAAAGCGTTTCCAACTAAAATCTGTAAACATTTAAATTATAACATGTTAGATTTAGTCTAAACAGACCCTGTCATTCCAACATTTTTGAATGTTTGTTTTGTCTTGAGACATTATTGAGTAGAATCTATTAAACATTTTAGGGAAAAAGACACGAGATTGCTAAAACTTTGTGGCATGATTTGTCTGCAAAACGTCTCTGCATTTTAGCATCACCTGCAAAATAAACACACCTATTTGACCGAGACTCTAGGCAACACAGATGCCACACAGCAGACTGTATTACCCTCATGACCCGGCCGGGTTAGAGGCTGTCAATCCCAGACCAGCCCCACTTTTGGAATTAAGACTAGCTCAAACTATGAGCGAAGCAGAAGAGGAAAAAACAACGTTATCTCTACCTTGTTGCTAAATAAAGCAACGCAACTCGTGTTTAAAAACGCACAGCCTTAGTAACTTCACTTTCATACAAAATAAGTTCCTAAATGCAAAAAGTACGTGGTAATAAATGTTCAGTAAGAGCAACTGACAGCAGTGACACGTCGCCCTGATGATGCTAACTAGCTAATGTTAAGGATGCAGAGGCCGCTGCCTTCGGAGGCTGCCAACCGTCAACACTGCCAAGGCGTCAAACAGGAGACATTTACCGTCATGATGGGACGACGGAGGAGATCCCGAGGCCTCCTCGGACATGGTTTCCAGAGGAGGGGTTTCAGGAGATTACCAGAAAGGTAGAAAAAGAGCTAGGAGTGTCCAAGAAAACAGGCTAACATCACAACTACAGTCGAGTTAGCAAAGGGAGAACGCTTATTTCCGGTTAAACTTCCAAAATAAAAGCCAAAGTTTCGGTTTATCAAACTTGAAAAGATACACCGAGGTTTTGTTGGGTGCGATTATTTTTATGTTTTAGTTTTTTTCTAAAAAAAATAACTTGGGTTAGTAGGATCTCAAAAACAAAAAAAATATATTATTTTTGGTTGTTTAGTGGTTCATATTTAAAAGACACACCTTAAAATCAGCAATAACTAAAAATGTATACAATAAAAAATAAAATCAATTCTACCTAAAAATAAAAAGGTTTTAAGTGGAACCAAATTAACGTGAATCTGTTGAGAACCGAATTAACCAAAATCCATTGAGCCAATGTTCTCCAACGGTCCCAGAAGGGGATTCGCTTTTTAAAATCATAAATCCTTACCTAACAAAAATAAAAATGTCACTTTTGTAACACACATATTTGAGTAGCAATTGTAAAATAAAAAGTAACGTTGTGGGATTGTTCTTCGCCAAAGTTCGAAACTACAACAAAATGTATGACGGTGAGAGGAAAGATGTCTGTTGGCTTTGTGTTTTTCTTGTTAGTTTCCATGAATTTGTAATAAACTCTTAAATCTTGAATTAATCTCACACACCATCCATCCATCCATCCATCCATCCATCCATCTATCCATCTGATTCAAATAACGGATTCTTCCTTAAACACAGCTTTGTCCTCCTTGCAGTACAACTTTAATCATCTTCATTTAAACACAAGTAAAACAAAGTTCATGATCTTCAACCGCAACTTACCACAATCAAGTTTCCACCCTAGTATTGTTTCCCTGGACGGAACAGAACTACAACTTGTCGGTTCTTATTCCTAAATAGAGGCTAGAGTGACTGCCAAATTCTCAGTGCTTATCCTGCTCGACTTATCGGCTGCATTTGACACTGTCAACCATGGCTTCCTTTTGTCTACACTCTCTAGCATGGGCATCACAGAGCAAGCACACGCCTGGTTTGAATCATACCTCACAGGACGATCATTCAGTGTATCTTGGCTTGGACAGTCCTCTACCGTGCACCATCTTGCCACAGGAGTCCCCCAGGGCTCTGTACTAGGACCTCTTCTCTTTGCCATATACACCACCTAACTGGGTGAGATCATTCGATCACATGGCTTCTCCTACCACTGCTATGCAGACGACACCCAGCTCTATCTGTCATTTCCACCGGACGACCACACCGTCTCTGCACGAATATCAAACTGTCTCTCTGACATATCAAAATGGATGAAATCCCACCATCTCCAACTCAACCTCTCTAAAACTGAACTACTTGTCATCCCAGCAAAACCTTCCATACAGCACAATATCTCAATCCAAAATGACTTCCTATCTCTGGCCCCTTCAAAGGCAGTTCGAAATCTGGGTGTTGTGATTGATGAACACCTGACCTTTAAAGATCATGTTGTCTCTGTTGCTCGTTCATGCCACTTTGCGCTGTATAACATACGAAAGATCAGACCATTGTCACGAGCAGAACTCAGATGACCCGTGAAGACGCCAAACACAGTAAAAGTAGATGAAAATTCTTTAATTTTTTGTGGAGTTACCAGAGGTGGGCGAGGCTGGAGACAAAGTAGAGGACAAGCGAAGGTCGTGGTGGCAGTCAGAGTACAAGGCAAGGGTCAGGAGCGAAAACGAGGTCCGGAGGCAGAGATCAGGCAGGGTGGATGGCTGGAAGATTTACTTGCATTAGCGTTCAATAATCTGGCAGTGAACTGGTGGCTGAATGGTGAATATATAGCAGGGGAAGCCAGTGTGTGTGATGAGCTGAGGAGTCAGGAGCAGATGAAGTGGATGAAGCTGATTGTGGTTGCCAGGGAAACAGGGCTTGTAAGGAGCTTGATGAGGGGACAGGTGTGCAGCATGAAGGCTAAATGAAGGGGCAGAGGAGGGTGAAGGATTGGGAGTCATGACAATCATACCTAACACAACATGCCATCCAGTTCCTGGTGCAATCTACTGTCATCTCCCGCCTCGATTACTGCAATGCCCTTCTAACTGGTCTTCCAGGCTGTACTGTGAGACCTCTTCAAATGGTCCAGAACGCAGCGGCGCGTCTGGTCTTCAATCAGCCAAAAAGAGCACACGTCACCCCTCTGTTCATTGAGCTCCACTGGCTACCGCTAGCAGCACGCGTCAAATTCAAATTGCTAACACTAGCATACAAAGTACGATATGGTACGGCTCCCATCTACCTGAATCCTCTTGCAAAGCCTTACGTCTCGGCCCGGCCGCTCCGGTCATCACAGGATCATCGGCTGGCAGTGCCTACACCACGCTCAGGACAATCCAGACTCTTCTCATGAATCGTTCCACAAATGTGGAATGACCTTCCAAGCACTGCCAGAACAGGAGCTTCCTTTTCAGTTTTCAAGAAACTCCTGAAGACCCTGCTCTTCAGAGAGCATCTTCTAAACTAGCACCCTCCCTGCACCTGTCCCCCCCTCTCTACTGTCCACTCCTTGTTCCCTCCTCTCCATGACTGATGTCAAGTTGTTGTTGTTGTTTATCTTAGGTGTGTTCTTGCTGTGTCTTTCTAAATCCATGCTTTCGTTCTTTTTTAAACACAGAAACAGTTTTGTTTACCTGTTTGTTGCTACAGTTTCGCCGACGGCTGCCGGCTTCTTCAGGCTGACGCTGATGGTGGCGCGTCACTTCCTTCTCCGTATATCTGCGGGCAGCAGAGGACGTTGTCGCCCTCTACTGCCCGCTCGTAAACACACAAGAGCAGCAAAAGAAGAAGCAGAAAGTACAATAAAAAAAGTCAGCCGTAACAGATCATTGCTTAAGAGAAAACCATATAATGGACTGGGACAGCACACGGATCATAACCACCGAACAACAAAAATACAAAAGATGGATCAAGGAAGCAATCGAGATAAGGAGACGTGGATGTGGGACCATGAACAGGGACGACAGAGTTTACACGCTGGACCACGCATGGGACTGCATCGTCGGAGAGGGGAGAGCGGGCAGTAGAGGGCGACAACGTCCTCTGCTGCCCGCAGATAAACGGAGAAGGAAGTGACACGCCACCATCAGCGTCAGCCTGAAGAAGCCGGCAGCCGTCGGCGAAACTGTAGCTACAAACAGGTAAACAAAACTGTTTCTGTGTTTAAAAAAGAACGAAAGCATGGATGTTGTTGTTGTTGTTGTTAGCCTCAAGGGCAACATGCCGATTATCACTTGTAAGTCGCTTTGGACAAAAGCGTCTGCTAAATACATAAACATAAACATATTTGGGTATCTGGCTTGACAGCACACTTTTATTTGACATTCACATTATTCTTTACTTTCTAAAGTCAAGTCAAGAATTGGGTTTCTATAGCAACAGGTCCTCCTTTACTCATTCTGCAAAGCAACCCTCAGTCAAAATGACAATCCTTCCCATCTTAGATTACGGTGACATCATTTATAGGACTGCTTCCAAAAACTTCTTCATAAATTCGATGTAATTTATCACTCAGTAATCCATTTGGTCACTGGTGCCCCTTTCAGTACTCATCATTGTGATCTGTACTCACTCATTAACTGGCCATCTTTCTATTCCGGCAGGTTGTTACATTGGTATCAGTTCATAAACAAAACAGCCATCTGTAGAACACCGTGATGTCTTCACTCCTTACTCATCACTTCCAACAACCAGCAGAATTTGTGTTCCAGTACCCTAATCTCTACGGTTATTCCCAAAGCTCGCTCCTCCTTTGGCCACTCCTCATTCCAGTTTGCTGCTTCCAACGACTGGAATGAGCTGCAAAAATCACTGAAGCTCACAACCTGCGTTCAGAACTAAATGAGCTTCCCGTTGCTGCACCCACTCACACCGTCTTTGTCCACCTCACATGTCAATTCCTCTCTCTCTCTCTCTCTCTCTCTCTCTCTCTCTCTCTCTCTCTCTCTCTCTCTCTCTCTCTCTCTCTGTCACACGCCCACTCCCCCACAGGCATGCTCTTTTTGGTGACATATCTACTGTTCTGGTAATGCGTGGACTGGAAAATACAATTTTACTCAGTGAAAATGTTCAGTTGTAAAATGTTTATTTAGGTATAGGAATAAATATCTAAAGAATCTAATTTAATTTACTTACATTTTAATTCAAAAAAATAAAAGGTAATTAAATTAAAATAAATTATATTTTAATTACCTTTACCTTAGTTTAATACCTAATTTGTTACATAGGTAAAAAATAATGATTTAGATCCTTAGAGGGGAGTTTTTATACTTTGCAAAAAATTTCATTTTAGTCTTAAAATTTAAATCAGATTAAATTTTTGGGATACAAAAATACAACTGTTTAAAATCCAACTCAACAAAATCAATCAATCAAAACATTAAAATCAAGGTCTAAAAGGTATTTAGACCAAAGTGGATGAGCAGGTTTGGTTTACAGTTTTTCTCCATTGGTTTGGCTCATTTCTTGAAACAGAAATTACATTCTCAAACCTCTAAGATCATTTGGCAAAACACTCTTACAGTTTAGCACAACACAAAACAACAAAATGGCAAAGATCCTTCTCAATAGCTTTGGCTCATTTCTCGACACGGATTGGACATTCTCATCATTCTTGGTGCTTTTGTCAAAATAAACCTGGATGGTTGATCACAACAACATGGTTTACCTGCAAAAGTTCATATCGCTCCTAAAACAGTTCACTCATGTGTCAAAACTACATTTCCTTCTAATCTGAATGGTCAGTGCCCACAAAATGCATCGTCCTTTGGCATTGTGTGAGTCCTGCCATGCAAAATGTTTAGATGTTTTGTCACTATGGCAGAGGACCAACAATATAACCGAAAAGAGTAGCCTCCAAAGTTTGACATCACAGATTACACTCACACTACCAAGGAAATTATAACACTTTTTCATTCACACGCAAAGAAAGTTTCATACATATGTAAAAAGAAAATGTACACTACAGTAATACAGTAAATTGTATGAACACAAAATAAAAAAACAAGCACATATTCAGTGGTCGCCGTACTCATTCTCCCGCTCTTGT